CAGCCGACAAAGGACGCAAAACTGTAATCATGGACAAATCAGACTACATCAACAAAGCGACGACCCTCTTACAAGACACCAACACGTATGAACCTCTACAAACAGACCCCAACAAAACCACTACCAACCGCATCAACAAGAAATTAAAACAACTAAAAGACAAAAAGAAACTTAACGAAACCGTCTACAAAAGAATCCGACCCAACGACTCCTCCACCGCCAAATTCTATGGACTTCCAAAGATTCACAAAGAAAACAACCCGCTACGACCAATTGTATCTCTTCCTGGATCTCCCACGTATGAACTTTCAAAATATCTTTATAACATTCTATATCCATTAGTCAAAAATTCACCTCACACCATCCGAAATGCCACCACTTTCCTCGCCAGTATTGATAACATTAAACTACGACCAGACGAAATCATGATATCCTACGACGTGACATCACTTCTCACATCCATACCACTGGACATTGCCAAACAAATTACTAACGAACTACTCACAAACGACAAAACTTGGCAAACTACAACACAACTAGACAAAAATGACATCCTAGACTTACTCAACCTTTGCCTCGCCACTGAATTCACCTTCCAAAACACATACTACAGACAAATTTCAGGCACACCAATGGGATCACCACTATCCACCTTCCTCGCAGAAGCTGTCATGCAACACCTCGAAACACAATCAGTCACAAACAACACAAACATCAAACTATGGAAAAGATATGTCGACGACATCTTTGCCATAGTCAAGAAAGACAAAACTGAACAAATCCTACACACCATAAACAATACCACAAAGAACATTACCTTTACTAAAGACGAAGAACACGACAAACAACTTACCTTCCTCGATATCCTACTAACGAGAACAGATGACGGTACACTAAACACACAAGTATACCGCAAAAACACACACACAGACCAAATACTCAACTTTAATAGCAATCACCCAACACAACACAAAATTAGTTGCATACGAACTCTCTTTAACAGGATTAAAACACACTGCAATACAGAAGAAGCCAAGAAGAATGAACGCAACTACTTATACTCTACATTCATAAACAACAATTACCCACGAAACTTTATCAACAAAGTATTAAACAAAATACACAACAAACCACAAACTGAAAAACCTAACGAAGATACAGACGAACCAGTAAAAATAGTGACATTACCATATATAAACGGAACATCAGAAATGACATCAAGACTACTCCGACCATTCAAAATAAACATCGCACATAAACCAACACACAAACTCAAATCATACTTCACTAAACATAAAGACCGAACAACGACATTCGACACAACCAACGCGGTCTACATGATACCATGTAAAGATTGCCCCAAACAGTACATAGGACAAACGTCCAAGAAAATTGAAACAAGACTCACTGAACACAAGAATGCCATCAAACGACGCGACCCAAAATCACTACCAGCAGAACATACCTACGATACCAACCACACATTTGACTGGACAAAACACAACTTCTTGGACGCGCACAGACAAAACACGCACGAGAATTCAAAGAGGCATGGTACAGCAAAGACAACAACACAATTAACAGACATATTGACATCCCCATCATCTATTCACAACTAAAGACAAAACCAAAACAACAAACTAATAACACAACGACTAAAATAAAACACTCGAATTTCATTAACGTAATCGATACACCCGAAACCATGACAACGCATCTTATACCATCCAATAATATCAACTCAACTACCAACCAACCAATCAGACGCTCCAAACGCCTACAAAAATCTTTGTAAATAATATATTGTCACATTCTGACGAAGGCTCGAAGCACCGAGTTGAAAGCTTAATAAAATTTAAAACAAATCCAGAGAATCTTTATCATTATCATAATATGCCTGGGTTACCAATTTTCATATATATATATATATATATAATTCAATTTACCTCATTATAATATCTGTAGTATGACAGTGATGTACTGTCACCAATCCTGGTCTTGTTGGACAGTTCATAGAATCAAACACTACTATTGTTGTGCTAAAGTAAAAAGTGACAATCATTTTGTATTTCAGATTTAAAAATTCTGTTTGTACAGCAGTTCATGTTATGACGTTACTAGTGTTGTTTGTCACTAATTTAGGGTTCGTATTGTGAAAAACTAAGTATATGGTAGTATGGGTATGAGGTGCATGATATTAAAATATAAGGAAGGTTTTGGTAATGTGTGGATATGTTAAAACACTCAATACCTTGATACTACAGGTTGTTCCTTAACAGTTTCATTTGTTTTGTTAAATAGCACTATAAGAATCTAGTGCAGCCTTAAAAAAAAGTTAAAAACCCATCACATATTTTGCATGCATGTAATATACACAAAATACAATTTCATTCTATATTGATGAACAATAATTGTTTACAACATTACCCTTTGTTGACAGGTATTAGAACTATGTTCTTATTCCAGATGGCGACTTTCCTAGTGAATGATTTGGCACACTCCCAAAGTTCCCTGATAGGAATAAGACAAAGCATACATGTAAAGTATGTAAAAAGGAGACAAAATGAATTATGGTGAATGCCAGATTAGTAATGACCAGAGTGACCTGAAAAATATTTTATAATTGTATAATTGTTGTATTTTGATTGCAGTTGCATTATTATATATTTAAGTTACAGATACAAATACAACAGATACAAATTGACACACCTGTCATTTCTGGGAACCTTTTTTTCAGCTCCATTTGCTGTTGTGATGGTTTTATGGGTAGATGACCTGAGCTTGGTACAGAAATAGCTTGACAATGCAATGGTGGATTGTTTCACATTTTCATCAGCATATTCAAATTTGAGGTATCTATATAGCAAGAATAATAATTATATTAATTATTAATCTACTGGATTGTTTTCATTGGGAAAAAATCATCAATTAACCCATTAATCCTCTCTTTTTACAAGTACTGTACAAGGCAAGTAAAATTTTCTGTAATTATAAAATTAAAATAACAAAGTGGAGTGAATTGCAACTTAGTAATGAGTTATTGATGCCCATAAGCAATTAAAACAAATACTGTACTACACTTCTTGTAACTTTCTTACTGAAGAAAAGCTTCAATAATGAGGTCGCTAACAAGACAGCCTGGATTTAAACATTGAAGTTCAGCTGGAATCAGGAGATTTCTGTACATGTTTCTCCAGTTATCAGATGTGGCATGTAGACATGAGTAGAAATTCTGTTGCTCTTCTTGTTCTCCATCCTCTATCGTTACTACTGGAACATTGACGTTGTACATTTTCTTTAGCATATTCGCCCTTGTACCAACGCGATTTCGATGCCACCAATCCAACCGTTTTTTTCCTGTTTTTTTCATCTTTGCTATGCAACCGATATTCTTTAACTTTTCCATTTTTCGTTTACTGTTTTCCTTTCTTAACTTTTTTGGAGAAGCACGAATATATATCCCTTCACTGCTCTTTGGCACAGTGGCCCTGAGCTTAGAAATAAGGGTCTGCAGCTCTTTCGTCACATCACTCAAAACGTCTGCGTCTTGGCTTAGGTAAGTCAGTTCTTTAAGTTACTGTAATGTATCCCTTGTTATATTTGCTGCATGTTTTGCAGTATCTCGTACGATTGTCCTTTTTTGTGGAAGTTATCCCACAGCAACTGGTTGTACATTTTTGCTGTCTTGGCTACTTGACTCGATTTTGTCTGTGTGGGTGCTGGTGTTATTGTCGTCAATTTCCATGTCTCCTGGTTGATCATCATCACATTCCAATTCATTAACATCCTTATCAATCGTGTACAAAGATGATTCTCTGTAGTTTAGTGGCAGGTTATACCAGTCAGCACTTGTGTTTTCAAACACTGCAAACATATGCTTACAGGGGCATTTGAATTTTCTCCAGTCAGGGCAGCTGCAAGTGGGAGAGGCTAAATCAACCGAGTAAGTCTGCTTTGAACTCTCTGATGTTACTTGAAATCTTAACTCTCCAAGATCTTGCACGTCCTTCGTTGTGTACACTGCTGACGAATGTATTCTTTGCATGCAATGCTTGATAAATCCATGAGGCCGACCATGCAGAAATTCTGGAATTTCTTTGTTGTAAGCCTTGATGTTCTTATTAAGCTTCAGATTCTTCAGCACGTAGAGTTTGTACTGTTCTGGGCAAAAGCATTCCACAATTACTTTAGCAACACCGCTTAGTGTCTTGTCAGTTCCCTTTGAGAGGTAGTTATACTTGAAAACTTTATTTTGTGCTTCAATACCATTATTTGTATTGATCTTAATGTCTATTTTAGGTTACCTATATGCTCTTGCCCATCGTTTTTCCTCAGGAAACCACGTTCCTTCGAGCCATCTCTGAACTTGGGCATTATTTTTGTACACATCTGAATCTACAAGCTTCTTTTTTGCTTCTGCAACATTTGTAAATGGAGATTCTGTATTTGAAATCCACGGCGCGTAAGCCATGCTTCTTAAGAGGTGTAGCAACTTCTCTCTATCCTCGGATGTCAGACCATGCTCACTTTTCTTTGTCCATCTTTCCCATGCTTGTTCCCTGTGGAAATCACATAGAAACACTGATGTTCCCACGTCCTGAAAAACTGAAATTCGGAGAAAAAATAAAAAATCAACTAACTACTGTACATATAATGAGGCACGGCATTCTCAATGACTATGCTCTTACTGCAACTTACTCTACGTTCTCGCAATTAGTAAGCCCTCAGCAAGCCATTTAATTCTAAAATAGTTTCTCAGACCCTTGACAATTTATAGTATAGTTTAGCAATGTTGCAACTTACCTGACTCAATGGAATGAATTTCAACAACTGAGAAGTCGGTCATAAAATTTGCTGGCTTCCATTCAGGATTCCACTCCCGCAAGACGTGAAGTGCTTCACTTACTTGCTCTTCCGTTTCATCTTGAACAACAAAATCTCCTAAAAAAAGTGTTGTATATTGCTTAAAAACAATTGGACTTCACAATGCACCGTGCACCAGCAGCAGTCAATTGCCAGCGTGGGAGTTAACATAAGCAAATGATGTTGAAAATGACCATAATAGACTATAGTTGTTGTTGTCTTTGTATGGAATGAAAACGGCTAGTAAAAGAAGGAGATTAAGTTTATTGTCTTGCTTCACTGTTACTTCTACCTTCATCTTAGTTTTTTTTTACCTTTCTCTGCTTTTAAAACATACGGGCATGTATGTTCATTTTTCCTCTATTTTATTTTATTTAGGTATTTTTTGACAAACATGTATGCATGCGCATTTTATAAGATGCAAACTGCAAAAATACCGACAACTGCGTATCCGTTGTTGGTTTTACACAAACAAAAAGAAGGAAGGGTGGTTTTGTATGTAGCATCAAGGAGTGAAATCTCATTGCCATATTTGACCATCAGACGTTGTTGCCACTGTTCCTGATGAACATATAAAAGTTTCTGGCTTGGCTCTGCCGTTTCACTTTCTTCCTTCACTGTGCACATGCGTAAGTGAAACTTTGATGTGGGGTTTTTGCTTGTCCATTCGTCCATCATTTTTTGCAAATTCACCTGATCCAGTTTGCTAAGTTTTTGTTTGTTGGTAGCTGAGTAGATATGATTGATGATGTCTGTGCTGGTTGGATAAAATGACCGGTTAGTGTTGAGGGCCTTGGACTTTATCATCTTGGAACAATATGTTTTCCACATGGTAGGTAAGTAACTTTTTAACTTCCTGCCACTGTGTTACACCTATTTAATAAAAAACAGCCCAATAGTTCTGGATGATAATGTAAGGCCACCTTTTCTTTTTCAGTACGCCGTATTGCCGTTAGAGTTTGATGAATGTTTAAAATCAGTATGCCTCACCTGCTGCAACAAGCTCGTGGATTTTCTCTATTATAAGCGGATGGACCCCATTGGAAATGCCGCACACTTCTCCATGTGGGTGGTTTGTGCTTGCTGGTTTGGAACTTTGACAAAAACCTCTTTATTTTTTAATTTGCGCTTCATTGTGTTCTTTATCGATTTTTAACTTGTTCAAGAGCGATGGTTTAATGACTCGTTCCATCTACAATAATTTGGACACAACGCAATTAGTGTTGAGGCTGGCTTTAAGATGATTAGTTCCTTTAAGCAACGTCATATACATTGTTAAAAATTTGTTGAGTAAATTTGATTTTTCTTTGTTTAACTCCCACAGTCTCACCTGGTGTTTGTTGTTACAGGATGTTGGAACGATGTAGTCTGGATACACGGTTAACTCCCTAACAGTGATCTGGGCCTTACACCCAAGCTTTTTAGTTGGCTGCACTCGAAATCGTCTTTTTTGGCCAGTTGGATGGCCGTTGGTTCCCTATAGTATAGGTTGAAGTGTACTGCAGTTAATGTTAAAAATGATTTGTTCAAAAGTATATTATCTATTATTATTACGTTATAGGTGTGGTTCGAGTTTATAGAGTTTAATATTTCAGGTTTCAAGACTACGTACCTCTTCAGAATCTCTATTTGTCGGCCTGCAGGGTCCATAAATACACTCTAGTAACCGTATTCCATTGATACAAAACGGAGTGCCAAAAAATGGTATGGATAGATCACCAACATTGCTGCTCCATCTCAAACTACCTTTAATAACAACAATTATTACAAAAAATGTTGATAATTTTATTTATAATTATATATTTACAACAACTGATGAGTAACGTGAGTTATGAACAAAATTTATAGTGAGTGAAAAGTGGAACTTTCCTCGAAAGAATACAATTTTTCACGTGTAAAATACTACAAGTGCAATACGTCGTATCAGTTTAATTTATGTACCTTCATTTCCATATCGCTTTGCCGAACCTCGTAGCGCAGACGAACGAAGCTTGAAAGATGTCGATCCAGCAACTTCGTATTTTTGTAAAAACTCGTTCAAGTTAGTCTCTCCATCAATCCAGCCTAAGAAATATTCACCATTCTCTACGACCTCTTTTAAATATCGGCTTATAACCTGTCGAATATCTCGATTGTTTGCATTATTTAAATTACCCGCCATTATGCAAATGATCGCGCAAAAATAAACTTGAAATTGACTTTTGATCATCTCTCAAAAGTAGTTTTCGTGTTATTACGCAATCGGAACAAGTGACGTCACGACATGAACTGCTGTACAAATAGTAAATCCCCTTACAATTGGTTCATTTGAATTTTTGCTTTATTGTGATTGGTTTGACGGATTTCGACTGATAGCCAACTGAACTAACATAGTCAAGCTCACTGTCTGAATTGAATGTTTGATCGTTTTATAGTAATTTTTATAAGCATGATAGAAACTACAATCAGATGGAATTTATGGAAATCTTTTACAAATTCATATATTGACATGAATGCTGCTTTCTAAACTGGGAATTTTTTCAAGAGGGCGAAAAATTTATGGATGAATTGTAAATGCTTGGCAAAGACGATCTCGCGAGCGACATTTCAGTCATTGATATTCAAAAGCAAGCCAACATTGTTTTGAGTTTTATCAGCAGAAATTTACATCGAAAATCGTAAGTAAAGGACAGGTGAAGTGTATGCATGAATGCAATATATCAAAGTCAATTTATGCGAGTGTGTGATGCGATTTATGTTAATATGGCGTATGGTAAGCAGATTGATGCTTCTAAAATTGTTGTTGACGAAGGACTTTTAGCTATGATTTCTTTAATGCTTGGGGAATCGTGGCCGTTATATGGCAGCGAAATCCTACATTCCTGCAAATATATTTCAATGGACAAAAAATCTGTAGCCATAAGGCGCCATACTATTATTTACTTTATCATAAACAAATGTTTTGGGTTTTTCAGTTTATGATCATTGATCATTCAATCATTGGACAGTTGTACTACATATTGTTTAAGATTTGAGAAAACTAACATTGATTACATGAGAAGCTGTTTACTATAACCTGTGATTTTGAGTCTTCTGATCCATGAAGCTTTTTATTTTGACAATTTGACTGGAATGGTATTAAACCTGAGTATTTCACATACATGGAATGTTGTCCCATGTCACATATTGTCCTCTTTTCTAACTGAACACCTCATGTAGAGATGTAAAGGTGTGTTAATCTACGGCTCATACCAGATTGTTTGCCATAAATTCCAAAGGGCTATTGATGTATGAAAAGCATTTTCTATAAAGTAAAAATGTCTTTCTATGTATGCAGATAAACCTTGAAATTTGGCAAAACAGCAAAGTATTTTTCATGATCACTAGGTAATTTTTCTGATGATCATTATAATTTCTAAACTAAATTATTTCTGATTTACATTTAAACAAGCTTTGATCATATGAAAAGATATTTATCATAACCAGTAAGCATGACACATGAACCAATTTTAACATTCATGTAATTATATAAAAAGACATGTTGGTTACATTCTGTTTGTATTTGCAAATACAATGCTACTAGTGATTGCTATATAGCACACCTTGCATATACTTACAGGAGATAATAGTCTAGTGAAATGCCTAATAAACATTTATGGCATTAAGCTGTCCTTAACTGCAAATTTTCACTCTGATAATTTTTGCTTAACCTTTGGCAGAAAAAAATTTTGAGTTTTTTCTCAAAAGGTGAATTTGCTGGCATTGATGTAGAGATGGGTAAAGGGTTACAATAAACTTGCATGGTTTGAAGTCTGAGCTTTTCTATATCTATGAACTGTCACTTGTAGTACCAAATTTCTAACTTAACTAAACTCATTACATAGAGGTTTGAATGGGGGTCTCTAGGGGGGTCTATGCCTGACAACTTGGTAGAAATTTTTAAAGACTATATCTGTTTTTGAATAGCATTATTGTAAAATAAATTTTACGTTTCTAGACATGCTAATGAGCCATATATTTGGCATGATAAGGAGCCTAAATATTTTGCAAAACATTCAAGTATTGTTCACTTCATTTTTTTTTTTTGAAAAAAACGTAAGCAAAATGTGTTGTTTTTACGCAAAAACGATGCCCACAAATACATTTTGTATTGCTCTAAAACGCTGAAAATGGCATTTCCAAGGCTCTGAAATTCAAAATTTCTCAGGGAGAATTCCTCAGACCCCCCCAGGTGGGGAGCGCCTTCGACGTTTTATGACTGATGTTTGAAAAATCCTAGATCCGCCCCTGAATGAAATGTCGCAAAGTTTTATCATTTTGTTTAGCTTGGATTTTTTGTGCTATTCACTTCTAGATTGCTTCAAGAACTCTTTCGATGGTTTTCAAGTTTGTGAAAACGTCCAAAGTCCGGATGCAACAAGGTTTTCTTCAGCAAGCCAACGGATCTCTCAAAACATCTTGACCGTTGATCTTCGTAGGCAGTCGCTGGCAGAACAATGTGAGACAATTCAACTAGATCATGGTGATGGTGTAAAAGGGTGAACAGAATTCATTACAAAATTTAAATATACGTAAATGTAAATAAGTATGCCCATTATTTAAGGAGCCTTTGCATCGAACTCCAGCAGTGTTGTGTAAAACCTCCTTAGGTTAGTATATAGAAGATATAATAAATATTTAATAAAACTTTAACAACAATTTACACAACACTCAGAATCTCGGTGCCCTCACTAGTCAATCCTATCAAGTGTCTTCCGCATCTTATGCTGTGATGGAGAAAGTTTTAAGACCACAACGTTTTGACACCAATCCTAACGCTCAAGACGCTGCTAGATCGTGGTTGCACTGGTTTGCTACTTTCCAAAATTTTGTAGCTGCTATACCTAACGAAGAAGTGAACAAATTAAAGGTTCTAGTCAATTATGTTTCTGCCGACGTTTATCAACTTTTCTGTGAAGCGACAACCTACGAGGAAGCTATAGAATTGTTAAAAAATCTCTATGTTAAGGTTCCTAATGAGATATTTTCGCGACAGAAGTTAGCTACTCGTAAACAACAATCTGGTGAGAGCCAGGATGAGTATTTGCAAGAATTAAAATCGCTAAGCAAAGATTGTAATTTTCGGAGCGTGACATCAAACCAATATCGAGACGAAGCTGTACGAGACGCGTTTATAGCAGGTCTTCTTTCAACTAACATCCGCCAACGTCTTCTTGAGAATAAAACATTAGACCTTCAGACAGCTTTTGATCAAGCCCGAGCCTTAGATACAGCACAGAGAACTTCTGAAACTTATGCAGACGGAATTCCAATAACAGCTGCTGCTCTATCAAACAAGGACGGGAATAATTCGTTTACTAATCAACGGGCATTCGAAAACCAAGATAAAACTGATACATCAAGAGAACAACGGCATAGAAAGGTACGTTGCCGCCTCTTCTAGATCAGCGAAATGTTTCTTCTGCGGTAATCGACCACACCATCGTTCCGCATGCCCGGCTAAAGACGCCTATTGTTATAAATGTAAAAAGAAAGGACATTTCCAAAGAGTATGTAAATCGGTCGCTCCTCAGGCTTCGTATATAGCATTAGCATCAACTAAACATACAGTAGCAAAGTCACTAAAGAAAGCCTGTATTGATGTCTTGATTAATGGAAAATCTTGCGAAGCTCTAATTGATTCGGGAAGTACACATAATTTTATACATCCTAAAGTTGCAAGTAATCTGGGATTGAACGTTTATACAACTCAAGAGAAAGTAACAATGGCTGCATCCTCGTTTTCTTCTAAAATTCAAGGCTATTGTCTTGCAGATATTATACTTAAAGAGCGAGAGTATGCGAAAGTAAAACTGTTTGTCTTAACAAATTTATGTACGAACGTGATATTAGGACAAAATTGGCAGGAAAAACATGAAAGCATAATTATTGAGTATGGGGGAAAATCGCCCTCTTTAACGATATGTGGTTTATCAACTATAAATATAGGGCCACCGCCGTTGTTTCAATTTTGTCTGAAGATTGTAGACCGGTAGCTGCAAAATCACGAAGATACAGTGCCGAAGACAGAGCGTTCATCGCAACAGAAGTGTCGAAATTGCTTGAAGAAGGGATTATTGAAGAAAGTGACTCTCCTGGAGAGCCCAAGTCGTTGTAACCAAGAACGAAAGACAAAAGAAAAGACTAGTAATCGATTACTCTGAAACAATTAATAAATTTACTCAGTTGGACGCTTATCCGATGCCAAGAATAGATGATACAGTAAACGCAGTTGCCCAATATAGCGTCTTTAGCACTGTAGATCTTAAAAGTGCATACCATCAAGTACCTATCAAAAATAAAGAGAGAAAGTACACGGCTTTTGAAGCTAACCATCGACTTTATCAGTTCCGTAAAATCCCAATGGAGCGGCGGCCTTTCAACGATCAATGGATACTTTCATATCCGAAGAAGCTTTAGAAGATACTTTCGCGTATTTAGACAATATTACTATATGCGGTTACAATCAGGAGCATCATGATAAAAATTTGGAACTTTTTATGAAAGCAGCGAGGAAACGTAACCTAACATTTAATGAAAGCAAGTGCGTTTTTTCGGTAACTTCAATTAGTATACTCGGAAGTGTTGTATCTCAAGGAGAGATTAAGCCAGATCCGGAGAGACTAAAACCTTTGCGGGAGCTGCCAGCCCCACGTGATGCAAAAGCTCAAAGGCGTGTCATCGGTTTGTTTTCATATTACTCCCAATGGATTAAAGATTTTCAACTAAAATTAGACCTTTGTCTCACAATTTAGCTTTTCCATTATCAAATGATGCGTTGCAAGCGTTTGATTTACTGAAAAATGATATTGAGAATGCTGTAGTAGGATCAATTGATGAATCTTATCCTTTCCAAATAGAGACCGATGCATCAGAATTTGCACTTTCAGCGACATTAAATCAACAAGGACGACCAGTAGCATTCTTCTCAAGAGCACTAAATGGTTCAGAACTAAAACACTCGTCAGTAGAAAAGGAAGCAGCTGCTATCGTGGAGGCCGTTCGTAGGTGGAAACATTATCTAACAGGTAAACATTTCAAACTAGTAACGGATCAGAGGTCAGTAGCTTATATGTTCAATTTGAAACGTCATGGTAAGATTAAGAACGATAAAATAATGCGGTGGAGATTGGAACTTTCTATGTATGATTTTGACATAGTATATAGAACAGGAGAAGAAAATATACCAGCGGATACCTTATCGAGAGTGAAGGTTATGTCGCTTACACTGGATAAACTTTTCGAACTTCATAAAGCACTGTGTCATCCTGGAGTATCTCGCATGAGTCACTTTGTAAAAAGCCGAAATTTACCATTTTCGATAGAAGAAATTAAGCGCATGACCGAATCATGTAGAGACTGCCGAGAATGTAAACCCCAATACTATCGACCTGCACAGTCACATCTGATAAAAGCAACACAGCCGTTTGAAAGACTGAACCTAGATTTTAAAGGTCCGCTGCCTAGTACGGACAAGAAACGATATATATTGACTATCATAGATGAGTATTCTAGATTCCCATTTGCGTTCCCATGTGAAGATGTTAGCGCTCGGACTATTGTTGCTTGTCTATCAGAATTATTCTCGGTTTTGGTATGCCTACGTACATTCATTCTGATCGAGGGTCAGGATTTATGAGTGCTGAACTAAAGAGTTTTCTCTTACAGAAGGGTATTTCAAGTAGTAGAACAACAAGTTATAATCCTGCAGGAAATGGCCAAGTAGAAAATTCAATGGAACGTTGTGGAAAACAGTTTGCCTCGCTTTACGATCGAAAAATCTACCCATTAACCACTGGCAAGAGGTGATGCTGGATGCACTCCATTCGATTAGGTCCTTGTTATGTACGGCTACAAACGCTACTCCTCATGAACGATTTTCTTTTCAACGTAAGTCAACGCGGGGTGTCTGTCCCTTCATGGTTAGCTACACCAGGAAAGGTTCTATTAAAACGTCAAGCGCGAAATTCAAAGTTTGAACCGTTAGTGGACGAAGTACATCTAATACAAGCAAACCCTCAATATGCTCACATTCGACACGCTGATGGAAGAGAGGATACCGTATCAACAAAATACTTAGCACCTCAAGGAGACTTAGGATTTCAAGACGGTATAACAACTTCTGCCCCTCCAATAGAAGTTCAAGACACTACAATACGTCCCACAGAAGACGCAAAGATTGAGATATCTACGCCAACGGAAGTAGTGAGAGGAACAAATTTATATGATGAGAGTGTTGAACAGCAGTCGTCGCAATTACGACGTTCGGAAAGAAGAAGAAGAGCACCAGATCGATTAACTTATGATTAAAATAAAATAAAACAGAACGAATCAACTAACATTTATTAAAGTCATTCTATTACCTTGAGTTAGTTAAGGACAGTTATATTAAATTCAGCTACATATATGTTTAGGTATTCTTTTTTTGTTGTTAGGGTGAATGAACAGAATTCATTACAAAATTTAAATATACGTAAATGTAAATAAGTATGCCCATTATTTAAGGAGCCTTTGCATTGAACTCCAGCAGTGTTGTGTAAAACCTCCTTAGGTTAGTATATAGAAGATATAATAAATATTTAATAAAACTTTTACAACAAAGGGCAAGATAGAAATGACTTTGCACAAAATCAACGAATCATTTCTGTAAATGAAGAAGCAAATGACAATGTTATTGATATTCATGATTCTAATGCTTCCAAACAGGCAGCTGGTGTTGATGTTTGGACTGGTCAACTTTCTAAAGGTGAAAGGGATTTAGATAGCAGGAAATCATGTAACACAGATCCTTTAGATAGAATCTATGATGCAAATATTCATAATGTTAGTAGCTCACATGATAATAACGACAATCATCTAAAATCAACTCACTGTAATATGGAATTATCTTCCATTGATAGCGTAAAAATCGACGATGTTTATAAATATCTAATCATTAAAAAGTTATCAGTTTCTTCAAGAACGTGCTACTTTTTGACAGAAAATGACTTTAATTTGCTGGAGAACCGTGCTTCACAAAAGAAGACTAAATGCAGAGTAACAAACATGTCACTTATTAATTCAACAGAAGAAAACAAAGATGACTCTTACTACTCCAAGTTCCAAGAAAAACATATTGAACATGATCGTTATTCAAACTTAAATCGACAAATTAGTAACTACTCAGAAATGTTACAAAAAAAGTGCACAATGCAATCGTCAAATTCAAGAAACACCATTTATTCAAGGAAAAAAAAAATACCAAGCGTAAATCAGACGAGGACAGTGTCCACGTGAGAGATATTTGGAAAGCTTTGGTGGACGGTGACTATGACGTTTCTAGAAAAGAAATCTCAAAATACAAAGTTGAGTTGACAGATTCAAGACAAAAATCTGCACCCTCGAAACGAAACAGTTTTAGAAATCATCAAAAGACAAATCCTGTTCTTCGAAATAACTCTGCAAATTACGACAAGGAGAGCATTGAAATTCCTGTGAATAAATCAATGGGTTGCTTTTTGCCAAATGATAAAAAACTTCAATGTTTTGTCCCCAAACTAGATGACAAAAAAGAGGTACATATAGCTAAAATGTGAGATTGATATTTTTTAGTTTATGAGTTTAAATCAGTTCAATAAAAAAGTTGATACTTAGACTTGGAGAGTGAAATGACCATCTGCTTCACTTTTTGTAGTTAGAACAAAACAAAGGAACTTTTAAAAACGGTGAGACCAATCAGCTTAAAATTATTGCAGTAAGGAAACCCGTGAATAAGCTATCAAGGTAAAACTTTAAATTGAAAAACAAATAATCAGTAAATTTCATAGAATATTCACAAACCTTGTTTTTTATTTAGAAACGAAAAAGTCTCCGATTTCTCTTGATGGAAGTTTGAAGTCAACACGAGCCCGAAATTGGGTCATTTTTTGTAGTTTGCATATGGTTTGAATATGAATGAAAATAGGTATAATGATTTGTAGCTACTGTCATCTATACTTATTAGAAAATATCTTTTGATTTGACGAATTTGGGGCTTGCATTTAGGTTGTCTATACAACTACGGTGCAAAATAAGATCACGTCTTTGGGAATTGCTATTTGGCTATAGACTTGTTTTTAATAAACGAGGTCAGAAATAACAGAAGCAGTGTCTTTAAGAGAGTTTTCAAAATCAGTTTTATTGCCATTAACTCTTAGGTGCATTTGGTAGTGACATGGGCTTTCCAAACGTAGTCCAAGATCCTGAATGTTGCGTAGAAGGTTGCGTTTATGAACTATCGTCAGAATATCTACCGCTTTTGGATATATGTATTGCTTCTTCAAAGGTAAACCAACCACTTTTAAATTTTCCCTTGACACTTAATTTGCTAGTCCTCCGTCCTCTTTCAATCAGCCTAACGAAAATTTTTTTGCAATAATAACAGGGGATCAGCATTTATATACGTGCAGGCAATATATCCAATACAAAAGTTGAAAATTCAACCATATACTGTCCAATTTGAACAATCAAATAAGCAAATATAATGTATAAATCTATATCAATAATTATGCTTCTCTAGCAATACAAGAGATTGGATGTGTGAAAATCCTGCTCGATTTGAGCATGGTATAATGTCAACAATGTGTTGCTGCAGTTGTTTATGTTGCTCAAGAAAAATATATCTCGCCAGGTGAGTGAAGCTTTCGTTTCCTCTTACATACCAAAAGCTATTTTCTTTTCATGATTTCATTCCCAACTTGCAATATGATTTTGAATGCAAAACTCATTGAAAATTCAAACAATGCCACACAAACTCGGGTTTTATGAAAGCCAATGAAACCAAGCACAAATAAACTTATCATAGGAAGACATGAGGGAAGGCGTTTTTACCGAAATTCAATTTCTTTTCCTAGATTCTGTGCAACTGGATACTTCATTTACCTTGAAGTAGTACTTTATAAGAACTGATTTACTTACTCCAAACTAAGTTGAATATTTAAAAAGTTTCAGTATAAATCACGCTTTCGCCCTTTGAGAATACTTTTTAAGTAACCAACATGAGCGCAAGTCAACGCGTAATGCTGTTCATCTTACAGCAGAACAAAGTCAACGCGCCATAAATTGATATATTGGGCTCATCCTCTCGACTTACCATAACATTGTTGGATAGCTGTTGGATTTCTATTTTCTTACGTTGGTCAACATAACGTAATTCAATGTAATCAGAAGCTTTCCATTCAAATTTATTATCGATTTCTTGCTTTAAAAGATCCTCAGTCTTTGATTCGTCAACTTCAAGATACATGTGACGATAATTCAACTCATAAGTAGGACGTGCTGTACCATACTTGCCACAAAGCCAAGGAAAACTGCAAATGTGGAAAAGTGAAGATATTCGATGCCTTTTCCTCGTGCCAAATAAGTCAAAATTGACGTAAAAGCGATAAAAAACATTTACCTTTTCAAATTTTCATGGATGCTCCCTTTAATTTTGTGATCCTTTTTGAGAAAACGTTCTTTAAATTCGACTGTGTTGGGAGTGGAAGGTTCATCTACAAAATATTACACAAAATGAATGTCACTGGACTTAGAATCTCCTAAAACACAAATATCAAATTTACCAGTTTTTGAAGATGACTTGAAACTACGAGAAGTAATTGAACTCAGAATTTTTTCTGTGCTGCCACTGGAAGGTTCATGTACAGTTTCAGAATATCAGTTTCATCTATTTCAAAAATTGTACCTGAGGTCTGTGAAGCTTTGTATAATGTGCTGAAGGAAGAATATTTAAAGCCACCCACAACAAAGCAACAATGGTTACACATTGCTGATGAATTTAAGTGCAAATGGCACTTTCCCCATGCAGTTGGCAACATTGATGGTAAACATATCAACTTGCGTGCACCTCCAACCTCAGCCCCTGAGTACTTTAACTATAAAAAACATTTTAGCATAGTCCTCTTGGCTATTGCAGATGCAAATGCTAAATTCATCTCATTTGATCCTGGAGCCCCTGGCAACCAGTCAGATGGAGGAATTTTTAAAGACAGTCACCTTAAAAACATATGCAAGACATGCTATTTCCCACAAGCTGAAGAACTAAGAGATACATTATTGCCTATACCTTACTTTCTGCTTGGAGATGAGGCATTTGCTTTGAATGAAAATCTAATGAAGCCATATCCACACCAGACTGCAATAGGTGATGAGAAAGTTTTTAACTATAGACTTTCACGAGCACAAAGAATTGTCGAAAATGCATTTGTATTGATGTGTAGTCGATTCAGATGTGGATTCCGATGTCTTTTGAGAACATTGGAGTTGGATGTTCCAAATGCAATGCAGGTGGTGAGGGCCTGTATGGCACTGCATAACCTTTTGATAAGTCAGAAGGACCAGGGTCAGGAAAGGAAATGTTGTGAATGGTTCTTGGAGAACACAATTAGGCAATGAAAATGAAGTATGTGACATCCAGCCAGATGCCAGTGCCCGCCCATCATTAATTCATGCAAGACAAATCAGAAATGCTCTTAAAGACTATTTCTTTGAAGAACGGGCAGTTGATTTTCAATGGACAATGACAAACTAAGGAATTATAACAAAGAAAGAAATTTACCTCATTGGAATATTAAAAATATATGAAAACTTGTTTTGCTGGTTGATGTTGCCCTTTATATATATATAAATCCAGTAAAGTAAACTCAAAAACAAATGTATAAGTTATTTTGATGTAGAAGTTTAATCATTGAAAAATGTTCATTTAAAATACCCTAGTTTAATAAGATGGTGGTTTAAGAAGATGGATTATTTATTGATTGGTCGGCTTAATAAAATGGTTGGTATTGAGCCCGTGGGGGCTTTGTGGCTTGAAAAATAGTCGATTGTATGGCAAACTTGACACGTCTTTGTATATCTTTATCTGCCAGACCACGCATTGCATGTGCCACATCTTTACCAAAAATATCCCACTGGTCTTAAGGAGAAGATGTTGCTGATTTTGCCAACTGGTTCAAGGCAGATGTTGCTGACTCAAGAAATGGGCTATGTGATTGTTTTCTCTTCTTTGAGCTTGAAATGAAACTACATACACTTCCTGTATCTTCATTATCAATAATTGAATCATTCAATTGGTTTTCTCTGTCTTGTGGAAAACCTTCATCAATATCATTTGTAAATACTTGACGATTGTGTGATATAACTTCATCCAGTAAACTGCACTGGTCAAAAAACGTCCATTTTGATACATAAACTTCACTAGCCCCACTGCCTGTACTTTGGCTTTTTCTTATTTTTCAAACTTCTTCTCTATAAAATGTTCTTAAACTCTGTATCTTTGCTAAAAGTTTAAGCCAGAAATTTTATTGGAATAGACTTATTTGAATCCAAATAATAGCATATAAAGCTACAGATGGATATGTTTTCCTTTTCCAATTTTGGCATGCGAACAAGCTGAGTTAGAAGTTTGAACACATTGCCATGTAAGCAGGACAAGATATTTTTTCTTTGCGATTTAATGCAAACCAGAGAGCATAAACAATGTTCATACATCGCTAAAATGCAATTCTTTCTACTCCATTAGAATATTATCACTCACCTTTGATGCTTGGCAAATCAACGTTTGGCAGTTCAACTTTGATTGCTTGCAGTATTTCCTGGTAGTGTGCACTCTTTATATTTCTGTTTTTGTAATGCTCACTTTTGGTATTCCAAATACTCTCTCTTTCTCTGACAGTATCGAGCAACAAGCTCACCACTTGATAGGGCCAGTTTGTTTTATTACCCGCCATATTTTGTTTTATGTTAAGCCTGGGATCTACTTCGCTCCTTGATATGTGCCACTTTTTATTTGACAACCATCTACACGACCCATTTTTTGTATGTGATAAGTAGACAATAAAAAGTATGAAAAAAAAGGAACATACTCCCATCAACTAGAACAAATAGTTTTGTGACTTCGACAAAAATTCGTAAAGTTGTCTATCAACAAAAGTTAGTTGCCAGTTCGAAATTTGTCGTTTTAGCATTCTATTGTACAAGTCAGTACGACTACGTCACAACAATGAGTTTCAGACGCAAACTAAATGGATTTCTACACCTGAGAAATCACAAATTATCGATTTATGAATTATAAATACTAGAATGATAACTTAGGTGCATTGCATTTTTTATAACAATGTAATTGATACATGTTTCTAAATGTAGATCGTCCAGGTTGGTATAGTCCTGAGAAGAACTGTTTTTGTTGTTGTTGACTGACGTTTCGACAACTTTAGCGGTAGTCATTTTCAGAGTCAAATGAGGAGTAATATTTGTTATCTGGTTCTTACGTCATTGTAGTGTGTGTACAGGAAATGTGTATTGTCATTGTGAATTAGTGTGAAGTGAAATGTTTTTAGTTGTGATGTGTGATTTAGTTGTTATGTTTTTATTTGTAATGTGTGGGTGTCAATTGTGTATTGTCATTATGAATTAGTGTGAAGTGTAATGTTTTTAGTTGATCGTTTATTTGTATTGTGAATAAGTCATTTGTAAGGTACCGGTAATTGCTGTGATCTGTTCAGGGTAGTTTTTTCCAAGTTGCTACACCTACTTTCTAATGTAAGCCGTTGTCTATAGTCAGTACTGTAAGTAATGCATTTTGCCTAGTCCCAGTGAATGTTGTGCCTCGTGATTCGGTGATGTTAATGGTTGGTATAGCGTTTTCCAGTCAAAGGAGATATCCCCAAGTGTTTCAAGATTCTGGTGTGTAAGTGGCGTGTGGTTTGACCCACATACGACGCTGAACAGCATCGACACGTGTATAAATAAACAACACCGGATCTCAGAGACTTGGGAATTTTATCCTTAACGGGAAAAAATGAAGAGATTCGTGAGGGGGTACGGAAGACGAATCTGACATTGAGATAAGGGAAAGCAGCGTTGTAGAGACGATTGATTTGTGTGCGGATTTGTAACGAGTGACAGCCGGTGAATGGGAGTCAGAAATACACTATTTTCTTTGGGACACTAAGGACAGGTGGTTTCTCTTCGAATTTTGTAGCAAGGAAACGACGGACAATGTGGTCGAACAAATTAGTTGGAGAGCAATTGAGTTTGAGTAGTTTTCTGGTGGTTTCAATTTGGCATGAAAAGTCTCATAACTAGAGCAGAGTTTGAAAAAGCGGTGTAATAGGCCAGAGATTAAGTTGCGTTTGTAAGAAAGTGGGATAAAGCTGTTAAAGTTTGTGAAAAGACCGGTGAATGTGAGTTTACGATATACAGAGGTGGTGAATTTGTCGTTTGAGCGGTAAATGTCAATGTCTAAAAACGGTAGTCGTCCACTATTTTCCGTCTCAGAGGTAAAAGTGATGTTGGGGTGTTGATGGTTGATTTATTCTAAAAAGAGAGGAACGTGATCAACTGATTTAAAAAGGAGGAAGCAATCGACATATCGTCTGTAGAGAACAGGTTTGAATTTGTGGGGACAGTTTTTCAGCCAGTTTTGTTCATGGAAAGACATGAATATGTTGGCAAAAAGGGGGCCAAGGAGACCACCCATAGCATCTTGACATAGCAAATAGAATACTTGCACAGTTTTAATATTCAATCATTAAGGCGTTTAAATTACATATAACATCATAACCTTCAACGCCGTACGTCAACAAAGCAACTTTCCGTGATTATTAGCCTTAACATAGATGAAAATTTATAAAAATTAAATATACGCAGGAAGAAAATTTTCAGAAATTGTACTCATCCTTGTTAAACGTTACTTGTATCAATGTTTTAAAACATCCAACTCTATGAAGTTAATCGTCAAAAGTCGACTAGATTTAAAAAAAACACAGGAGATTCTAAATTTGGACAACCGAATCAAACAAGGAGCTACCATGCAACACCTAATGAGAAGAAAAAAACCTTAAGGATGTTGGCATGTAAGATATACAGTATTAGAATTTAGAATAGTCCGTTTATCTAAAATGCAAGAATTCATTGAAAAATGTGATATTACGCGTGTCAATGACACACTTCATTGCATAACTATTTAAAATAACAAGAAAAAGATCTTTGTTCATTCGATACTAGCGATACCGAGAATTTGTCTATTTTTATTTTCCTATTATCATTCTAATCGAATTCTTCCTGGTAAATGTTCAAAATTATTTTTTGTTAACTGTAGCTAATAAGAGACTGAAAGATATGTGTTAAAAACAGAAATTGGGGATTTGTACATGGAATTAAAGACTGTTACGCTCAAAAAAACTAAATTGAATTTGTGAAGTCTTTTGTTTTGTATAAAGGTAATAACAAAATGTTAAGACTTTTTCATTTAGGCATTGGAAGTTCGATTTAATCGCCAAGAGACTGACTTTCTATCTTATAGAAAAACCCAATACAAACTATTGGCGATTGAATCAAACGCCTGACGCGTGAAATGTTCTTAAAATGGTTATTTGGGTATTGAAAGAATTCACAAATGCAATCTAGATAGCAACGTGTTGTACAGTTGAAAATGAATGAATAGCGTTGTACAATGAAATGGGTGAGAATGGATGAGAAGCAATATTTTACCAAATGAACTGTTTTCATTCAATAAAATGTTCTTATCTGATCTGATATCGTCCAGCTGTTATGTCTATCTTGTATTTCTATAGAGAATGCAACGTAGATAGATTTTAAATTACATCAGAAACCATCTAACGTCAGATGGATTAAGGCCTATGTCAAGTTAAAAATGAACACCAATTTGTTCTAAATATTTGTTCTATATAATTAAACTAAAACAAATTTAACGAAATATTGTAGTAAGTTCAGAGGCGTAACTAAAACGTGAATGGGGGGGTGGGGTGGAATATTCATATATTCAGTTTTGCTCTACTGATTTCTTTTGAAAATGAATTAGCAAAAGAAAGTCGGCACAATGGAATATATAAGTATGCACCACCCCAATATTAACGTTCTAGTCAGACTTCTGTGTAAGTTATAAATTCAAATAACAATGCAAAAATAGAAATGGTCAGCAGTTTTACAGATTTGATGATTATGTCGCATTTTTATATGAACAGCATACAGACCACTGCATAAAAACATAGTTGGCAAATTTGCTATAACTATAAGGAAGGTTCTTACATGCTGTTTCCAGTAACTTTATTAACAACATTTCTAGGAGGTCTAATTAACTCTTGACAAAAATCATTTATGATGACACAATTTTCCTTAATAATTGTCTTAGTGCTGCAAGTTTCCAATTAAAAACGTTGTTCATCTTCCTGGTCCTCAGTCCAAAGAAGACTCGCCAACTTTACCAAACTTATCTTCAATTAATGATCATAAAAATTTTTTCCGTTATAGGTAATAAGCTAAAAATAACAAGTCGATAAAGTGTAAAAGAGAGTTATAAGTGAAATATGATAGCAGATAAAATACAATGCACTAGATACAAGCAGAGATGTTCTGCTTCTACTCGATTTTAATTTTTTTTATCCTTGTCATTGACTCTCATTAATTTCAAAATAATGTTTTGAAGTGATACATATTTACTGTTAATAATTACATTAAGGGTATTAATTAAGTCTTTGTCATTCCATCGACTAAAAAAACAACTGAAACTCTCGAGCAAAATATCGTTACAAATGAGTTGATGTGCTTAATAATACCTGAGCTAAAGCATGAAGTTATTGGTCCATAGACCTCAGTTATGTAATAATCATATGTATATAATTGTCTGACAAATGGCAAACCAGAACCCCAGAATCAAAGTGCTTCTGTTATGGTGCATCTTGTGAAAGTTGAAACTAAGTTGAAGGTAAAGTTTTTAGGCAGCAACTGGGATTACAAGATTTATAGCGTTTTGCAAAAGTAGACAATAAAAAGTATTAAAACAAGGAACATACTCCCATCAACTTGAACAAATAGTTTTGTGACTTCGACAAAAATTCGTAAATTTATGTATCAACAAAAGTTAGTTGCTAGTTCTAAATTTGTCGTTTCAGCATTCTATTGTACGAGTCAGTACGACTACGTCACAACATTGAGTTTCAGACGCAAACTAAATGCATTTCTACGCCTGAGAAATCACAAATTATTGATTTATGAATTATAAGTACTAGAAAGATAACTTAGGTACATTGTGCTATGAGTCTTGTGCAGGGACCGCAGAACAGGGGGAGCTGTGGAGCTGTAACCCATACTACCCTAGAAATTTAGCCGCCTAGTTTAATTTGTCCTCGGACCACCAACTTGTACCAGTTAAAGTTTTGGCAGTAGCTGTTGTGTGTATGTAGTGTTCGTAGATTGTGTGAATGTAAAAGAAGAGCCAGTGATTTGGAAAATAAATTGTAGCTTTAATACATATTACATGTTTTATAACAATGTAATTGATCATAAGTATTTCCAAAGAATCAGTTATGTCCTGCTAATCTAATTACAAGTAAAAAGGTTCAAATTTTAAAATAATCCAAAAGTAAGGTTGTGATTTACTGCCCAATACTGGATTCACCATTGTGGTCAAATCGCGAATTCTAAATGAATCATAGTTTACATTAATTTTGTCATTAGTGCTAATTAAAATTGATTACGTTCAATAAAGTTAGCTCATTAAACTCCAAAATAAGAGCACCCTTAGGATGTTTTTTTGAATATTCCAGTAAGATAATTTTTCCCCACTTTTAGAACATGAAGGATTGAATTGGCGATACCCGTCGAATCTGAAACATTAAATGTAATGTAAGCCTTAACGTTTAGGAATATACTAAACAACAATAACATAACATAGCATCTTACCATTTCTTCGAAAATATTCGCCATTCTCAAGGTTCAGTTTCTCCAAAGCTTTGTCCAATTTAAAGCAAATAAAAGTCCTCGCAGGTTCGGCAAAACAAACCTCACGATCACTATCATTACTCTCAATACCATCTTCATTGCCATCTCCTACGACTTCAGCAACAGCATACGCAAACGGTTCCCAATTATCGTTTTCATCCAAAAAGTAAACAAGAGCACCAGAGTCACCATCCTCAAAAAATGACACATCACTTTGAATCTTGACTGCATTTCTAAATATAGACCTTTCTAGATATTGGCACCAATAAGAATAATTGTACCCTGTGATCTTACTATGCTTGGATTTGTTGTTCGCAGTAATGCGTGCGTCAACGAGTTCATTTTTCAGAACAACTCGTCGATAAAGCTCGTCATTTGCATTTTCTAAACTTAATTGAAAACGTTTCATGTATTTTCCAAGGCACCTGTTGAAAACTGTTTCACCAACAGAAATACGCATTATGTCTGTTTTTTTGCCGAACCGCGAAACCACGTCGTTGCGGTCATGGTCAAGTTGCACCTCACTGTCGTTGTGAGAAGGTTTGTAAAAGTAAACCATGTTATATGTCGTGAAATTAGACTTCACAGCATCACGAATTTCCAACCAGCCTTCGCCATTGAACACGCCTTGGTAGTCAACAAAGTCACTAACAACACCAACATGTGCGCAAGTTAAAGCAAAATACCGTTCTTCCTTTTGACAAATCATTGTCAATGTACCACGAGATCCAACGTCATTTTGATCTTTTCTTCCAGCGCGAAAATCAGACAGCAATCGGAAATTTGCTTTTTTAGGTGCTTTGCGTGGCAAATCAATATATTTCGAAGCTTCCCATCCAAATTTTCCATCAATCTCTTTCTTTATAATTTCATTCGATTTTTCTTGACTATCATCAACCATGACATATAAGTGAGGAAATGGCATCTTCTCGTTTGGGCCAGCTGTTCCATACTCTCCATGAAGCCACGTGAAACTAAAAATAAATATTTAAGCTCATATCTAGATAAAAATTCGTTTTGTAATACTGAAAATTCAAGTTGAATTTCTCCAAGAACTACATTTAGATGTTTGTAAATGTAGATCGTCCAGGTTGGTATAGTCCTGAGAAGGACTGTTTTTGTTGTTGTTAACTGACGTTTCGACAACCTTAGCGGTAGTCATCTTCAGGTGATACGAGCACGGACACCCACACATTTCCTGTACACACAATACAATGACGTAAAAACCAGATAACAAATACGGCTAACCTGACGTTTACTCCTCATTTGACTCTGAAGATGACTACGGCTAAAGTTGTCGAAACGTCAGTCAACAACAACAAAAACAGTCCTTCTCAGGACTATTCCAGCCTGGACGATCTACATTTACAAACATGTAACGATACTCCCGGGTTCAAACCATTTACTTTAACTACATTTAGAGTATTTCACCTTTCAAGTACATTACACACGTCAGCTTTAATGTTACTGCGTTTGTCAAGAAAATTACTTTTAAAGATTTTAATGTGTTCATCCAAATTATCATCCGCATCTAAACACATGATAAAGAAAAGAAAAGTATATATCACATGTTACACTACACAGCTTTTGTAAAATATGAATAAAAAGTTGGTCCGACAAACGGACAAAAGACGAAAAATGTCGGTCTGACTAAAATTTTGGGATATTTGATCCAATAAAGACACAATAAAGCTGGTCCCATGACGTAGAACACTCCCCCTCAAATCTTTCAGCGAGCCATAAATTATTTAGAATTTGCATTTACGTAACCATTTATTGTATGTTATTCGGTCTTGCAAATATTACATGCATGGTTATGCTAATGCAATGTGTTTGCAAAGAGGGAGTTGAACCAGTGAGTTGAACTACCTTACTTTGTGGTTTTTAATCTTTTGGGTGGAAAAATGACAACATGGGTTTTATTGCAAGTTTTTCCGTAAAACTTATAATTTACTTTTTCATAACACATCATAAATATCTCTTGAAACAGTTATCTATCACAAAAAAAGTTAAAGGAAACGGATAACTTAGATCCAACATCAGGGCATCTAGCTACCACATAAACGCTACATGAAACTATATATTCGTAAACATAATTATTGCCTTTTATTGGCTATCAATAATCGAACAATTATTGTTTGTATTTAGCGTTGAAAAACATAGAAATGTTTGGGCAAATGTTTGCTAACAAAATTCTTTTGCTTACCAGGTTTTGATGTGGAAGGCGAAACACCAATGATGACTTCACTGTTATTATCATCTAATAGATAAATCAAATTAATTTCTTGCAATGCAATTAAATAACAATACAGTATGATAAAAAATTTCTAAAACTGTCTTATCTGACCCTTTACAAACGTATGGATGATACGCATGATATAAACGACTCTTAATGGTTTGTGTTTGACTTTTAAAGGGAATTTAAAGATGTTTGTGCAAATGTTTGTTAACAAAATACAATTTCTTACCAAGTACTGCTGTAGAAGGGGTTTTGTCAATGTCTTCATAGTAGTTGTCACTCATAGGAGATGACAAAGATATCTTTTCGTAAGAAGCTGGAAATTAATGCATTACATTACACGGTTAATACATCATAGCAAGATAAAAGGAATACCTGCTGAGTTATTTCACTCTTCACTTTTTTGACCGTTAACAAAAGTATGTGAATAAGGAAGATATAAACGAATCTCAATGGTTACATTGCATTCTTGTTTGTACTTAACATTTCAAAAGACAATAAAGATTACGTTTGTGTAAATATGTGCATATAAAATTTCATTACTTACTAGGTCCTGATGTAGACGTTATACCAATATCAGCATCACTGTCATTATCATTTAGTAGATATAGCAAAGATTTCTTTTCTTCAGAAGCTAAAGAAATGTAAATATAAAACATTTAAGAATGATAATATTATTAAAAAATATTGCAACAATAGTAAGCTTTTTTTATAGGATTGTTGAATATTTTATATTTTTTATTTTTACGGAATTACTCTAATATAAACCACATTTGAAAGGGGCGTTCATCAGATGGAAAGGCGTAGTTGAGGCTAGGCGTGTATTAGAGAAATACCGTAACCCTTCTGATTAGAATAATCGACTTTTATTTACTGTTACAAAGTAGATTTTCATCAATTTACATCATTTTACTAATTCCAAAAATAATATATGCTAAGTTGTAGACAAGAGTTATATTTTGAGAGTGATTAACTTCCAGTGAGCATTAGTTTGTTGTAACTTTATTTACCGTCAAGATCAAGATTGTCCATGACCTCTTTGCTTTTCTTTCCACTAACTTCTTCAATTTTCACATGATATTCAGTATCTAAAAAATGTTCACAACGGTATTGTTACAATTATGTACAGCTTAAAGTGTAGAGATTCGAGAGAGAAAAACATTATAAAGTGTTAAAAACACACTGAATAAAAATACAAACAAAAAAGAGAGAGTTGGTAGAGTAAGAAAACAATTTTTTTATAGCCAAATTTGTTAGTTTACCGAAAAAGATTGAGTGAGCATCAAAATTAAATAGGGGATATTTATATCATCATGGAAGCCTAATTCAGTAATGTATTTGAAAAAGAAAAATAATGTTTATGGCTTACAGGTAAAATGTTTCTTGAGATCAGGTCTTGTTTTCCAGTCAGTTGACCTTATGATTTTATGCACACGAAGAGGAAGATCGGGAAAATGTTGCAAAAAGTACTTTTTATAGTTTCCTTCTTTAACATATGGCGATAGATGTGGACGAGGCTTATCCTTCCAATGCTCATTCACGTTTCTAATGAATCTTAAACAACTTGCCCATGTAGGCTTGTAAGTCAAAGTTTTCTTTTTGCCATTTGTTTTAAAGGTTTTGAAATCTTCTAATACTTTATCGTCGATAAGCTTCATCCATTTTGAATGACAATCCAACTGCTTACGAACATGCGAATTTTGACCTTTCGATGGCTTTATCTCTGGTTGGTTCCCAACATCACACAGCATGTCAAACTTCTCCTCATCGGATTGTAGATAAGGATGTTTTAACGCATCGTTGGCTGATGGCCTGTCTTCTGGTTTTAGTTGTAGCATCCATGAAAGAAGATCTTCAAGTTGAACATCATCGATTTTCTTCAAGCCAACAGGGTTTCCATCGAACAAGTTTTTCATTCTATACTCTGGAGGTCCAAAAGGATGTTCCCCTTTTGTTGCAACATAATAAGCCACCATTCCTGCACTCTAATATTATTAAAAAACACCATAAATAGTCACAACATCAACTTTAGATACTGAAATGCTAAAAAATTGAGTTTATTAGTTATTTGCAGAACTAAACAATAGCTATATATTTTTAACGAACATATCTACCATTATATCAGACTCTTTCTTGTAACGACCATCATTCAAGGATTCAGGTGCAATCCAATACTGAGTTCTCCTATTAGGATAGCTTACATGTGATTTATCGCCACTTTTCAATATTCGACTAATACCAAAGTCAGCTATCATAAATTTGCCTTTCACGTCTTGAAGAACATTAGAAGGCTTTAAATCCCGATGAAGAATAGAACTTGGGCCACTATGAAGATCAGATAATCCATTTAAAATTTGCTTAAGGATTGCGGGAAGAGCTTCGTGAAGTTTATCTAAACTAGTAGACTCAACAAAACTTGTCAAAGTTTGTTCGCACAAGTCTAATATCAAATAGACAAAATCTTCTCCTTCCTCTTCTACGAAGTTCCAATAATTTACAACATGCTTCGACTTCTTTGCGTTTGGCTCATGCAAAACATTCTTTTCTCGTAGAGCAGAATGGATACAGCTATTATTAAGGATTCGTTTTACAGCTTTTCCATAACCATCCCTTCCCAAACCAAGATAAACCAAGGTTCCACCACTTCCTTTGCCAATCAAGAACTTTTTATCGAAAATCACACGTACATCGCCTTTAATTCTAATATCACCTGGATGTTCAAGCCAATGTTTTTGCATCATTTCAAACTTTTCGCGATGCATCACTGATTTGTCAACGCAATTCCATTTTTGCGACAACCCAACTTAAAATAATTGTATGCCATTTAGCAAAATATAAAAAATAGTCATATAGTCAATAGACATATCAATAATTTTAATATTAATGTGGTGTAAAAGTTTTCATCAGTCTAAAATTTAGTACGCCTCTGGCTATGTTAGTTTCACGTGCAAGCACAAATCGTGGTTTCAAAGTACATTTGCTACATAATCATGAGGAAATATTTAAAATTGCTTAAATATAAACTGCGAAAATGTGACCTACCTTTTACCTTTAGATAATCATCAGGAATGTGGATTCGATATATAACATTTTTATTGCAAACAATTAGCTTTATGCTTTAAATAGTGTCTTACCCAAATTGGGATATTCATTGGTGTGCATCGGGGCTAGAAGCTTCAGATTGAGTATTTTGTTGTCCGTTTTCTCAGCAATTTCAAGTTGGCTTGAATAAGTGTATGTCGCTGTAGTAAAAAGAACAATAAAGACAGGGGCGGATCTAGAGTATGTCAAATCCGTCGCGCGACTGATGTTTGAAATTCAAAAATTACCTATTCATATTAATTAAAAAATCACTAATTATTCTTACTTTATTATCGCATTTACTTCGTGATAAAAATCCAGCTTTATTTATTATTGAAAACTAATGACTAATGCAACGAATATCTCCTTGGTAACCAGATCAGTTGAATTTTAATTGACCTGGAATAACCGACTGATAAGCGGGGTGGCTTGACTGGTTCGACTTATAAAGGAGTCTATGAACGCCAGAAACGCTATTTTATTGGTCAATGGCCAGATCAGTGGACAGTCTGGAATAATCTCGACCGATAATAGGGTGGCCGGACCTATAAGGGAGTCCAATTGCTATCTTACAATTGGTTCATTTGAATTTTGTCTTACTGTGATTGGTTTGACCGATTTCGACTGATAGCCAACTGAACTAACATAGTCAAGCTCACTGTCTGAATTGAATGTTTGATCGTTTCATAGTAATTTTCTAAGCATGATAGAAACTAAACTACAATCAGATGGAATTTATGGAAATCTTTACAAATTCATATATTGACATGAATGCTGCTTTCCAAACTGGGAATTTTTCAAGAGGGTGAAAAATTTATGGATGAATTGTAAATGCTTGGCAAAGACGATCTCGCGAGCGACATTTCAGTCATTGATGTTCAAAAGCAAGCCAACATTGTTTTGAGTTTTATCAGCAGAAATTTACATCCAAAATCGTAAGTAAAGGACAAGTGAAGTGTATGCATGAATGTAATATATCAAAGTCAATTTATGCGAGTGTGTGATGCGATTTATGTTAATATGGCGTATGGTAAGCAGATTGATGCTTCTAAAATTGTTGTTGCCGAAGGACTTTTAGCTATGATTTCTTTAGTGCTTGGGGAATCGTGGCCGTTATATGGCAGCGAAATCCTACATTTCTGCAAATATATTTCAATGGACAAAAAATCTGTAGCCATAAGGCGCCATACTATTATTTACTTTATCATAAACAAATGTTTGGGGCTTTTCAGTTTATGATCATTGATCATTCAATCATTGGACAGTTATACTACATATTGTTTAAGATTTGAGAAAACTAACATTGATTACATGAGAAGCTGTTTACTATAACCTGTGATTTTGAGTCTTCTGATCCATGAAGCTTTTATTTTGACAATTTGACTGGAATGGTATTAAACCTGAGTATTTCACATACATGAAATGTTGTCCCATGTCACATATTGTCCCTTTTCTAACTGAACACCTCATGTAGAGATGTAAAGGTGTGTTAATCTACTGCTCATACCAGATTGTTTGCCATAAATTCCAAAGGGCTATTGATGTATGAAAAGCATTTTCTATAAAGTAAAAATGTCTTCCTATGTATGCAGATAAACCTTGAAATTTGGCAATACAGCAAAGTATTTTTCATGATCACTAGGTAATTTTTCTGATGATCATTATAATTTCTAAACTAAATTATTTCAGATTTACATTTAAACGAGCTTTGATCATATGAAAAGATATTTATCATAACCAGTAAGCATGACACATGAACCAATTTTAACATTCATGTAATTATATAATTAAAGACATGTTGGTTACATTCTGTTTGTGTTTGCAAATACAATGCTACTAGTGATTGCTATATAACACACCTTGCATATACTTACAAAAGATAATAGTCTAGTGAAATGCCTAATAAACATTTATGGCATTAAGCTGTCCTTAACTGCAAATTTTCACTCTGATAATTTTGCTTTTTCTTTGGCAGAAAAAATTTTGAGTTTTTTCTCAAAAAGTGAATTTGCTGGCACTGATGTGGAGATGGGTAAAGGGTTACAATAAACTTGCATGGTTTGAAGTCTGAGCTTTTCTATATCTATGAACTGTCACTTGTAGTACCAAATTTGTAACTTAACTTATTACATAGAGGTTTGAATGGGGGTCTCTAGGGGTCTATGCCTGACAACTTGGTAGAAATTTTAAAGACTATATCTGTTTTGAATAGCATTATTGTAAAATAAATTTTACGTTCCTAGACATGCTAATGAGCCATATATTTGGCATGATAATGAGCCTAAATATTTGGCAAAACATTCAAGTATTGTTCACTTCATTTTTTTGAAAAAACGTAAGCAAAATGTGTTGTTTTTACGCAAAAACGATGCCCACAAAATACATTTTGTAATGCTCTAAAACGCTGAAAATGGCATTTTAAGGCTCTGAAATTCAAAATTTCTCAGGGGATAATGCCTCAGACCCCCAGGTGCGGAGCGCCTCCGACTTTTTATGACTGATGTTTGAAAAATCCTACATCCGCCCCTGTAAAGAAATTACATAATTAACATTAAAAAACCATTTAAACCATAAAAACGCAAAATTGAATTTAAATTCACCATGTTCGTTAATTATTGTAATTATAAAGAAAAGTTTACAGTTTGACTCAAATTTATTATTAGTAGTAAACAATAGAAATTTTTTCAAAAGTGAATACGTAACTTTATTACTTATATTCAGTAACACTCAAGTTCTTGTAATCACACTCTACCCTGGAGAAGTTTTAAATGACGTGAAGTTGAGATGCTTATTATCTTTTTATGAACATTTTTTTAAAATATATATTTGTTAGCTTTGACGCACAATTTTGTATTTGTTCAAACTTTAACTTAAAAATAAATGTTTGTTTATATATTTGTAAAGCTTATGACGTAGTTTCAAAGGTACGTTTACACAAAATGTTTTGTCGAGCCAACATTTACAGGTACGTTTATTAACAACGATTTGTCGTAACCGACACTGACGCCATATTACGTGTTCGTCATACATAGAAAGGCGTCGACTCGAAAATTGTAGAAATCTGGCAAACTACATTGTTACCGATTTTAACTTTGTTACAGTTCTAAAATGTATGACCACGAAAATAATTATAAAATGTCTTTGGTCGAAACAGAAAATGAGAGTGTTGAGAGCATTGTTGTTTTCATCGAATAACCAGCTGCAGTATTTACTGGTGTCTGTTTAAACATCTACAATAGTGAAGTGTAGTTTATATTATACTAAAAAATATTCAACTCAAACAATAATATGATGATTTTACTATGCACCTTGTTCATGTTCCTGATATGTTCTCTCGTCAACTTTCTCTAAAACACCACAAAGACACAAAATCATGAAAAATTGATAGTCAAAAAGTCGATTGCTATATGTATGTTTTTTTATACTTGTAAAACGTTATTTATATTGCATTATCAATTGTCATTACCATTGTCATATTAAAAACGTTTCGACCAGTAAAATATTAGAGAAAAATTAAAGGAAAATAAAATGACACAACTTTTTACCTTTATAAGCAGTGCGACCATTATCGTCACGGTTGGTGTTGTTCATTGATAGGGAGTCATCATTGTTCTTCGGTTTAAAAAACTGACCACCCTGAAGGCCGAGTGCTTTTAAGGCAATGTTTAATCTAAAGCAGGCATAATATGTCTTCATCTTTATTAGCAAACCATGCAAATTTGGTTGCCAATATTTTTTTTCATCCAAAAATAAAACAAGAACATCATTCAGCGCCAGGCTGAAGAAATGACTCATCACTTTTATCGCGAAAAGCATTACGCAAAATCATGGTTATTAATAAAAGATGAATACTTAAGGTCAAACATAGCCCTCAGTACCAGTGGCTGTGGAACTTTTAAGATTCCCTTGGCAACATTTCGTCAATGCTAAATACGTCATAAAGTTTGATCAACATCTTCCAATTCATCACGCCAACAAGCTTCTGAAAACTTCTTTATTGCAACAGTGATGAACATGATATCGATTTCAGGCCCATAAGAGAAGTCAAAAATGACCAACCACGCTGTCCTCATCCAAGAAAGTATATTTGATAAACGCTGAATGCTTCTTTGTTTTCAACAATTTTATCTCGAATCGCAATAACGGTCATCATTCCCTACATGAAGTCCATAACCAACGTGGCAACAAGTCAACGCGTAATATTTTTCATCCTACGCAGAACAGGTCAACTTACCGCGAGACTCCACATTAAAATGTGGTGTCGAACTGGAAATCAGCTTGACAGTCGTTGAACTTTTCTTTTCGTCAACGAATTTCTCATTAATTTGTCATATCAGTATCTGTAATATGTAAAATTGATTACGAAAGAGAAAGATGCACATTATATATGAAAGCTCAAAACCATCGGTTTACCAACGGAATAGAGGGAGGGGTCAATGCCTTACTAGCACTTTCATTTTTCAAACAAGCATCATTCTTAACTATTTGTATATAAATGTTTTTACTTGTCACAAATAATTAATCTTGAAAAATTCATATAAACGTTTACTTTCACCCCTTTTATGATTCAAAATATGGGTGAACTTACTGTAATTAAAAGCAAAAATCCTCCAATACCATCCAATCGCTTCCAGTCTGCATGGTTATCACTTTTAAAAACATCAAAATAAAAGAAAAACTAAAAGGACGAATTCCTGAGAGAAAATAGTTATCATTAACCAACGGACTAGAAACACAAGCTAACTGACACAAAAACTTCCAAAAAACGGATTCGTCCAGGGAACTACATGAATTAAGTCAAATGATATAACTAAGTGTAAAAAGTAATGTAACCATAAAAATGAATTTTTTAAATAAACACTTTAGAATAACCAATTGAACAGCCTCCCCGTTTTCTTGTAGATTATTCATGAAGTGTACATTATTCTATAACACATTTGGGCTAACCATATGTATAAAATATTCGGAAAGCAAGCCTAAAATAACCTAAACAGTATTATTTTAGTTTCTACATATCTCACAAATCCAAGAATATTATAATTCTAGATTCACCAAGGTGAATAAAATAGCAACACCAAACTACTTTATCTATTGTAAGTATGCTGCATAAATATACCAACCTTTAGGAAGTGGACTTACTTTATCTTGACTCTCTTCTACATTAAAAATACAAACAATACGATATTTTAATTACGATTACAAATGACAGGTTGAATGATTAACAGTGCATTAATTAAAAAATAAAAAATCGTTGCCAACACATAACTCTTTTTCTAGGAAAGAAAACCAAACAACAAAATAAAGGCGCCAATTTTTTTAAAAAAGAAGTATATCAGGTTGACCAGGATCAAAAAATTTTAAAATGTCTCGTAGTACAAAGCCCTCAGTGCAGTCCAATCTTAATTCGTATGTAGTTTCCAAATAGGGAGGTCACAATGCATTGTAAATTGCAACTTACATGACAAACTTATTATAAACCACAAATTTCAGGTCTACAGCGTAACGAATTTGTGTCAAAACAGAATCACAAGACGCACCAAGAATCAAATTCTTATAATCCGCTGGCCTTAGATAGTAAACGGAAAAAGCGCATGATTGAATCTTTGGAAGCTTCAAAAGATATTCATTTGATAAAAGTTGCATTAAATCTATTCGAGATTGCAGTAATGCAGCATAGATAATTGGTTAATGATAAACTAACTCAAAAGGTTGATTCTTCTAATTCTCATCAATAAGGTGCTTCACCTTTATGAAATAAACTTATCAGCCTATAACTCTAAGTATTGAAATCATTTCCAAGCATATTCTTTTTCATGAGAAAATTTGCTTGCGTGTGCTCTTCCTGCCACGTATATCACACCACTCTTGTCATGAATACACATGAACAAAGTAAAAACCTATGTTATGGCCTTGTTTTTTGGAAATCGAAAATCGGCATCTTGACTAGAGAATAAAAACTCTACAAAAATACACAAATTATTATGAAATCGTTTTAGTTTGAATTGTTATTGCCTAATTAATTTTTACTTTGATTCCGGTGAGTTGCAAAGAATTATCCTGTTAAAAATATAATCTGAAGATTTGTACTCGGAAAATAGACATATAAATAAGGAAGAAAGACTTTATGTGATAAAATTTAACTTCTGACACAATGAATTTTCTAATGAATAAAAAAATCTGCAAAATTCAACTTTACGTTTTAAAGCGTTCCGGTTTTTAATATTGACTATTAATGAGAGTAAAATACAACTCTGAAAAACTTACAAAAAATTCTCCGGTCTATAAGTAATTCAACACTATTGACTTCTTCACCGTTTTTACTACCGTCTGACTACAAGCATCAAAACAACAAGATTGATTTGTTTTGCAAGTCCTCATACCTACATAAATTTTCTCAATTTGAAAAGATCACAGCAAGATATAGTGACCTGGCAACCCTTGGTGACGGAGATTGGAGGAGTTTTGAAAGGGCGTAGATTAAATTTTACACGCGAATGCTTTCAAAAATGCCTTTCGTGTGAGCCATAAGCAAATACATTAGAGGAAACACAAAAAAACAGTCGGTTATTCATCACATACATCACCATAAATTTGGTCCAAACAACGAAACAGAAAGGATATTTCATTCTCTAAACCATTCAACTGGAAGTTACTTTCTCTTTATCGCATTTTTCACCACATTTTAGCATGTGATCCATTATACGAAAACCGCTGACAATATGAATCCATGGTGAGCTCTTATAGAAGATAAATGATCATTCATTTTCTCTATGCTTTCTTACTCGTTCTTGCAATCGTCTTGTAAACGATTGTTTATTAACAAATTATTAAACGTTTCATAACTGTAGAAAATAAAAAATATTACAAGAAAAATTATTAATTTGGATATGCCGATTGAATGCAATATACCAAGCAGTGGCTAATAAAATAATAGATTTCAAAATTTTCTGGGGGAGCATGCCGACAGACACCCCTAGCGCACAGGGTCACGGTCAGCCCAGAAGCTGGATCCGCCTCTGTGACGCATAACTCTATGAAGGTCTCTTCACTCGTCATAGACAATCTTGAAAACTTGTTATCAACGAGATTTAGTCCCAGCGATATCCGTAACCTTACTTGTGGTTAAAAGTGTACCCCTACATACACAACAAACCATGCAAAGTGTACCCCTACATACACAACAAACCATGCAAAGTGTACCTCTACATACACAACAAACCATGCAAAGTGTACCCCTATATACAGATCAAACCATGCAAACTGTCCCTACCTCTCCATGTACATCCAGTCTACCGACTTTCAATCCCAAAGCGGCAAATGAATATATTTTGAAATTTAACTAAAGAAAAGAATGCTACCGATGAAAGAAAGCGAAAGGGAGACAGGTTTCTACAAATTTATGATGGTACTGTTGCAGGCTGTTGCATATTTATGATTAAGGAGTATTGATAAATAAATCATGTCTGAGGGAAGTTATGTTAACTTTGTATCATAGAGAACGTTTGGTTTGGGAATTATTTTAGTATATCATCCAATTATAACTGGTTTTATATACGTTACTCAGTAAAAAACCACTTACGAATTCAGTTGGTGTTTCTTACGAAGGTGGGACATCGCTTTTTAAAGATACCTGAAATATAAAAATTAGAAATTAGACAAAAGGAAAGAAATTAAAAGATTATGGCGATATGCATTAATTCTCTTCATAAAAAAACCCAAGAAAAATAAACAAAGATTATGATAAGAAGCAATAAACTACAGAAAACGAACATACAGCAAGAATTTGACGACAAGTAACATAAGACGAAATGAAACCAGAGCAGTTTCATAAAAAGATCAGAGCGATTCTCATATCATCACGTTGTTTAATTATGGTAGGAAATCAGATCTTTAAAGGTGAATACCAAAGTGGAAGGGGGTAGTATCAATTATCAGAAAAGAGAATAAAATTTAAGAATATAACTACAGTGATAGCGACCTGTGAAGATCGACCTTACTTTGTGACCAAGGAATGATTACTGGGAAGATTGACCTTACTTTGTGACCAAGGAATGGTTACTGGGAAGATTGACCTTACTTTGTGACCAAGGAATGGTTACTGGGAAGATTGACCTTACTTTGTGACCAAGGAATGGTTACCGGAAGGATCCACCTTACTTTACTTCGTGAGCAAAAAATGTTGTGAAGCGAGATCTTGCTTTGCATGCAAAAAAATTGAAAATATTTCCTTGAAAAACATGGCAAGACGTCTGTAAATCAACTGAGACGGGCAAAAATTAAAAGAAAAACAAGTTTTACTTACATTTCCTTTGATGTTAGGTGACGATGTCTGAGATTGTATTTTACCGATCTGAAATTGTTTAACGTAACGTTAGATTTACATAACCACGTGATCGTGACAATTTCCTCATGAACCTACCTCCCATGAAAGCTCTTTTTTGATTGGATCAAATGAATAGGTACCAACTGAAAACATGGAACACAAGTCATAAATGTTGATGGTAAACGTCAATGAAGAGCAATGAAACATTAGACTGTAATGTTTAATATTTTATGAGCGTTTTTACCGTTTGTGGTCAAGTTAAGGTTGAGAACTTGTTTAGGAAATGGAACAGTCACGACAACATTCTCGACCTAAATAAGATATGGAAACATTGATTGAAAAGACTTTGAAAAAGTTAATGTGTACAATATTTGACTTGGTATGATTACGTTAGGACGATGTAGTTAGTTTTATACAAAATGCTTTGAGATAATACGTATGAAAAAAATGGACTAGTTTAGGTTATATCTTTAAGTTTATAAATGCAAGAAGATGCAACAGCAGTTTAATAAATTGACATGATTATAAATACATACATTTTTACCCATAACTGGTTTTGAACTTATCGACAATTCAAATCTTCCACTTCCGCCCTAAAACAACCAAGAAAAAGACGAATGTAGAAAAATCAAGCACTTTAATTTATTTCAATCAATAAAAAATATTTTAAAATAATTTCAACAGTTGATAAACCTCTTGAAACAAGACACAAGGCTTTGCAAACAATGGTAGCATACTTACTCTAAAGAAAAAACAAAAAAAACAATAAAATAGACAATTTCATTATGAAAATATAACTGATAAAACACCCACCCGGTTGCCACGTTATATGATATCAAACGAAAACGACCATCCGGGGGGACAAATGACAAAATTCGTTCAGACTAAAATACACAGACATTTGAAGTAGTCGCGTTCAAACGCAGTTTTAGTGCGAGATTGAAAGAAAAGTGTTTAATGTAAAAAGACAATTGTTATTAGTCATATTATGAATAATTTGTGTTGACTTCGATCAGAGACAATCCATATTCAACATTCACACTTACGTACCTCCCATCTTCTGAAGTCAAGACAAGGATGAAAACTGACATCTTCAAGGATACGAGGATTTGTAAAACACATGTTGAGATCTATAATTAATAGAAATCTTTAATCTACAGATAAATTCAATTTTAATCTAGGGACCAGTGTGCGAATTAACGGTGTGCAATGTGCAATTTGCACATCGTTTTAGCTAAAATGAAAACAATTGCACATCACTTTTTCAAACGATGTGCAAAAATCAGCGGTTTTAACGAAAAACACTGTCGTAAATCATATGAATTTGTTCACGTTTAAAAATATTAATTTGGCAATTAGCGCTATATAATAATTAACGTAATATCGCTTTATGCCTATAAAGAAACACATTTGTCAAAAAAATTGCACATCGTTTTTTCTGAACTAATTCGCACACTGCTAGGGACATAACAAAGTATCATAAATATACCAGGCATGCCAGATAATTTACAGTTGCAGTCAATCTGAAAGAACAAAGTTGAAAAAAGGGGCAAAAATCTTTAAAATGTTGTACTAGAGAGTACATATAACAAAGTATAAAAAAAGGAAGGCACTTACAGTTCCTTGTATTTCTAAAAATATGGTGGAGCCCTACACAAAACAGAAAATTTTAGGAATTTAAACATGCCATAAGTTTTCAGTTCGTACATGTCCTTAGTTTTAAATTAACATCAAACAAAAACAACAAACATATTTTTGTCATACATCTTCCACAAAGGGAACAAGAAATCCACAGTATTATAATGTTGTTACCTGTTTATCAATGATGGCATCAATGCTTTTGGCTACATCAAAATAAATCTATAACATGAATAGAATTAATTAGAAATACTTAGGACTAATTTGTGATAATTAGAATTAATTGGAACTAATTATGAATAATTACAACCAACAACAAATTAGCAATATTTATTACAACTAATTAACAAAAGAAAAAAGTTCACTCATCACATCACAACTAAAAAAAGCATGAAAACGGATTTTCTTTCAAATTTCTTAATGGAACAATGTGAATATAGCTACGTACCTCATTATTTGCATATTTTACACCAGTTCTCCTCCATGGAACATTGGACAATTGACCCGTTGGGAGATGACTGCTCATACTAGGAAAATATGAAATATTTAACTTAAATTATATGTAGAATGATCATAAATGTGTAAACTAAAACAAATTTAACTAAATATTGTAGTAAGCTGCATATAAAAAATAACGCAAATATAGAAATGTTTAGTGGTTTTACGGATTTGCTTTATATTTATATCTGATCCTTATATGAACAACATAAAGATCACTACATAAAAACATGGCTCATATGTTTACTATAAGGAAGGTTCTTACTTGCTGTCTCCAGTCACTTTATTAACAACATTTCTAACTATACTAGGAGGTCTTATCAACTCTTTAAGGACATTTGACTCTGTAGCAAGAGGGAATCCATTATCCAACATCTCTTCCAATAACTGAAGAATATAAAAATATAATATCATATTTTACATCACACACAACAGAAAAAAATTGAAATTCATCTATCAAACAGCTGGATTCTCTACAAAATATACTAATCTCAAACCTCATATACAATGACACAATTTTCTTTAATGATTGTTTCAGTACAGTCAGAGAAATATTCTTTGATCAAGTCAACCACTCGATGAAGAAATTCAATCACAAACAAAGGTGGAACTGGAAAGGAATGTTTTCAATTCATCAATAATAATAATCATGAAAGTGTTCACCACATGTTGATGATATGAAGACTAAATTATTTTTATCTACCACTAAGAATGCCTAATGCAATGCCTTTTATTGAGTGATAACACTTCTTTGCAATGTAATGCATACTTTTTAAATTAAAACTAGCAATCAATCTCTTGATTGCACTAGAGGCAATTGATTCAAAATAAACATTAATAAAACATTAAGCAACCTTAATATAAACACAAACCTTCATTTTCAACAACAGAAACAAAGAAGAGATCATGGTAAAATATACTGATGAGATAACTGAGTCCTGTTGCAATTACAGGAGGAATGTCTTCTGGAGACGTAGCCTGAACATAAAAGATGATATTTAATTTGTTTAGGAGCATTTTTGTCAGACAAATATAACATGAAAACCGTTTATGAAAGTACCTTAAAACTTCTCAATCAAACAAGCACAAACAACAATTTACACATAAATTCATTTACCTTTCCTTGAGCTTCGAAGACATAATCACAAACAGAGCGTCCCAAAACACTTCTCCAATGTTTTTCCAGAAATATATCCCTAAATGTACATGAAAAACATCATATGACCTAGTGACTCAGAGTCACCCATTTGGTGTAAAGTTGTGATAACTAAACAATTGAGGAAGCTGAAATCATCAAAATGGCATCATCTAACTGACTTCAATACTATTAAAATTACAGATATCAGGTAATATCTCACGATTTTTATGACATTCTTTATTTTTTCTGGGTATTAATCCTGTCACATGATACTTCTCATAATCTACCTTCACTGGCTTCTGACATTGTTCAAGCTTTCTTTTATTATCTTACTGAAACTAATCTTATTTCACCTCATTCAAATAATTGTAAAGTACTTCTCACAATAATCACAAGCTGATACGTACAAAACCAAGAGAAGAGCTTTGAAAGCAAACAAATATAAAACCAATATATTCTGTCACTACCGACTCACCCTGAATGGTTGATGATAAACAAACTGTGAATCATTGTAAAATCCACAGATAATAAAACCTATAAAAATGTATTTCTCCTTTACTTAACTAGCTTAATGGCTATAAAACTATTTTCATGTAAGTTCATTTCGTAAATATTTATTTATATTATTGCTAACATTTAAACAACATTTAAAAGCGATGTTTCCACTTAAAAAAAAATTAAGATTCATGTAATCATCTTACTTGTCCCCAGACCACTGAAGACTCAACGGCCTTTACCAGCTGGCTTACCTAACTTATCTTTATTTATGGTCGGGAAGATTTTCGTCTCAATCCCATGATCCTCATTGATAACAAGTCAATGAATTGTAGGAGTCCCAAACAGTTATAAAATACCATGCAAGGGGTACAAGGAGAGATGTTCTGTTTTAGTCGATTTTAATTTTGTTTATAAAAACGTATTTCGAGATAGGAATGGACCGTGACTTCCTTCAGTTTTTTATGCACATGCTACAGAGTCCTTGGAATCTACTAACATGCTAAAACCTTAAACATAGACTGCATTCTGGAAAATAACTTTGTTCAAATCCTGAGTTTATTAACAGGGGCGGATCTAGGATTTTTCAAACATCAGTCATAAAACGTCGAAGGCGCTCCGCACCTGGGGGGATCTGAGGCATTCTACCCTGAGAAATTTTGAATTTCAGAGCCTTGAAAATGCCATTTTCAGCGTTTTAGAAATACAAAATGTATTTGTGGGCATCGTTTTGCGTAAAAACAACACATTTTGCTTACGTTTTTTTCAAAAAAAAAATGAAGTGAACAATACTTGAATGTTTTGCCAAATATTTAGGCTCATTATCATGCCAAATATATGGCTCATTAGCATGTCTAGGAACGTAAAATTTATTTTACAATAATGCTATTCAAAAACAGATATAGTCTTTAAAATTTCTACCAAGTTGTCAGGCATAGACCCCTAGAGACCCCCATTCAAACCTCTATGTAATGAGTTAGTTAAGTTAGAAATTTGGTACTACAAGTGACAGTTCATAGATATAGAAAAGCTCAGACTTCAAACCATGCAAGTTTATTGTAACCCTTTACCCATCTCCACATCAGTGCCAGCAAATTCACCTTTGAGAAAAAACTCAAAATTTTTTCTGCCAAAGGTTTAGCAAAAATTATCAGAGTGAAAATTTGCAGTTAGGACAGCTTAATGCCATAAATGTTTATTAGGCATTTCACTAGACTATTATCTCCTGTAAGTATATGCAAGGTGTGCTATATAGCAATCACTAGTAGCATTGTATTTGCAAATACAAACAGAATGTAACCAACATGTCTTTAATTATATAATTACATGAATGTTAAAATTGGTTCATGTGTCATGCTTACTGGTTATGATAAATATCTTTTCATATGATCAAAGCTTGTTTAAATGTAAATCAGAAATAATTTAGTTTAGAAATTATAATGATCATCAAAAACACTTTGATGTTTTGCCAAATTTCAAGGTTTATCTGCATACATAGAAAGACATTTTTACTTTATAGAAAATGCTTTTCATACATCAATAGCCCTTTGGAATTTATGGCAAACAATATGGTATGAGGCGTAGATTAACACACCTTTACATCTCTACATGAGGTGTTCAGTTAGAAAAGGGGACAATATGTGACATGGGACAACATTTCATGTATGTGAAATACTCAGGTTTAATACCATTCCAGTCAAATTGTCAAAATAAAAAGCTTCATGGATCAGAAGACTCAAAATCACAGGTTATAGTAAACAGCTTCTCATGTAATCAATGTTAGTTTTCTCAAATCTTAAACAATATGTAGTATAACTGTCCAATGATTGAATGATCAATGATCATAAACTGAAAAACCCCAAACATTTGTTTATGATAAAGTAAATAATAGTATGGCGCCTTATGGCTACAGATTTTTTGTCCATTGAAATATATTTGCAGGAATGTAGGATTTCGCTGCCATATAACGGTCACGATTCCCCAAGCACTAAAGAAATCATAGCTAAAAGTCCTTCGTCAACAACAATTTTAGAAGCATCAATCTGCTTACCATACGCCATATTAACATAAATCGCATCACACACTCGCATAATTGACTTTGATATATTACATTCATGCATACATTTCACTTGTCCTTTACTTACGATTTTGGATGTAAATTTCTGCTGATAAAACTCAAAACAATGTTGGCTTTCTTTTGAACATCAATGACTGAAATGTCGCTCGCGAGATCGTCTTTGCCAAGCATTTAAAATTTATCCATAAATTTCCACCCTCTTGAAAAAATTCACATTTTGGACAGCAGCATTCATGTCAATATATGAATTTGTAAAGATTTCCAAAATTCCATCTGATTGTAGTTTAGTTTCTATCATGCTTATAAAAATTACTATAAAACGATCAAACATTCAATTCAGACAGTGAGCTTGACTATGTTAGTTCAGTTGGCTATCAGTCGAAATCCGTCAAACCAATCACAATAAAGCAAAAATTCAAATGAACCAATTGTAAGATAGCAATTGGACTCCCTTATACGTCCGGCCACCCTTATTATCAGTCGAGAACATTCCAGACTGTCCACTGATCTGGCTATTGACCAATAAAATAAGCGTTTTTGACGTTCATAGACTCCTTTATCCGTCGAACCAGTCAAGCCACCCCGCTTATCAGTCGGTTATTCCAGGTCAATTAAAATTCAACTGATCTGGTTACCAACGAGATATTCATTGCATTAGTCATTAGTTTTCAACAATAAATAATGCGGGATTTTTATCACGAAGTAAATGCGATAAGAAAATAAGAGTAATTAATGAATTTTTAATTAATATGAATAGGTAATTTTTGAATTTCAAACATCAGTCGCGCGACGGATTTGACATACTCTAGATCCGCCCCTGTTTATTAAATAAGTCTCATTCTACTCGCTACGAACGCCCTGCAGTGGGCTAGCTGTTCGAATTTTGAAAGCTGTTCATTTGCATCATACAATACGATTCATACCAAAATGCTGAAAATCTTCCTTAGCAATGACAATGTACATCATATCCACATCCTTATTAGACAACCCTTCTTTTGATAACGGATGCACTTTAGTGAAGTCTTGCTGGCGATGGTTGTTATATTTTTATGTTTAAAAGCATAACATTGAGTGAGAAGCCCTTGAATACATTGCCAACAATCGTTCTTTCAACCAATAACGTAGTGTAGAAAGTTGGAGTACAAAACATGAACAAAGGCATTAATCAATTCACAACAACAAGTTTGGAAAATACTCTCAGGCTCATATCATTGACTTGGTTTGATTCTTCTTACATACACCTTGATATTTCGAGCAGACACCTCTTTTCTTCTGGGATTTTCTGTCGGTACAACAAGAAAACAAGCCCAGAAATATATAATAAACACTTGCATATAAAACAATACATTCAACCGCAAGGGCTTCGAAAAGTTGTGTGTGTTCCATGCTAACTTTGTGGTAATTCACAATAGTTAAACTGGTGTAATAAATTTTTTGATATTTAATTCGATTTTCTTTATCTTTAACTGCATCATGTCACTCTCATTGAAAAGTTGGCACATCTGTATAAACCATGTATTCAATTTTTTATCAAATCTTTTAAAATGCTCTAAATCTAAAAATTGGAAGTTTCCAAACGTACATAGCTTCCCGACTCCTGAGCCATTTTTTTTTTTTGTAGAGCTTAACAATCAAAAATTAAGCAAAAATTTAATTGAAAACAAGCAAAGACGAGTTGCATTACGAGCGAGTTGTTGTTGACATAATTATGAGATTAATGACTTGGCTTACTGCATTTATGTTTAATTTGTAGTTTAAATAGCCATCAAAATAAAAATAATCTGATAAAAATTCTTTTCTCAAAACGAAAAGCTTATCAATAGATAACTGATAACTCACAAATAATTGCGAAAATTGTCTTTTGTAAAGCAAGGCATGAGAAATATGGATGTTTCAATTAAAATAACGAAACATGGTAGAGTCCCTCGGCAGTATTCATACTTTGAGTTCCATACACACCAATGATGCACACTACAATAATAGAATCAATGGAAAATAACTGAAAATGTGGAATCTTGACCTAACAAGTAACAAATGACTGAAAGAGACAGATCTGGCGAAGTATTTAAAAGACTGAAATTCATAAATGCAAACTTGTGGCTTAAAACATACGATCTTTAGTCTCAAAAAAAAATGCAACACAATTAAGCCAAAATAAACAAAAATTCAGCAACTTGACTTCGTCATCATTACCTCAACGTACACAGATTTTCTTTTAACAATTTCAAAGCTGCAACAAATAGGAAATAGTCACAACCTCACATAAAAGTGTCATTTTATTCAAATATTACCAATTTCCCCAATTCAATAAGTTGTTCTTTTTATGCATATCAATCTTTTACTCTTTGCAGTGGTACTGTATTGACGTACATAAACTGAATAGCGTTCTAGTACATTGAACTCACGCTCGGAGCTCATACGAAAATCTTATATAACGCTAAAGTACAACGGATTTTGAGTACAGATCGAGCAACTCCTTAATTGCGTTACAAGTCATGACATCCATATTATATTGTTATATATAGTTATATGTATTGTTATACATTGTTATACTTGAAGAAATGCTATGTATTACTAAATTACACATGTTAAAATTTATTGTATATTTTACATAAGAAGCATGATGTATGGAAATCAAATTTAAATTTCATTCGCCTTCAGTTTTAGATCGTTAGTCATTTGAAGACAAAAAAGTAGTTAATTATATAACATTGTAAAATCCAATGAAAATTCATAGCAATCTGGCCATGTAATATCCAACTTGGTTACTTAATCTAACTTGCTTAAGAGCCTCAAATTAAAACATACATAAAAGAGGATCTTGAATTGTGGTATCATTGATTTCCTTCTTGCCAATTGCTTTCCCATAAACCTCTTTTGCAGACAATAAAAGACTTCATTGATGTCACATTTTAGCTTTAAATTGAAAACGATAATGTTCTCTTTTTTCTTTTCTGAAGCAAGCATTTTCGCAATTTCAGCATTAATGCATACGACGTGAAAGCATTTGCTGAGTTAAAGCAAAGAATACGCAATATTTACTATTGCATATGTGTTCTTTACAAGTTTGACAACATAATAAGCTATAAGTTTCTTTTTACCATACGATAAAAATATGCCAAAATCTTTGAATCACCATGATTCGTAGGTACTCTTCACTATCTTTGGATATCTGACAAATCGTTAATCTCGTCTAAAGATTTTTGACTATTGCTAGTACTATCACACATGCTTGAACCGTTATTTTCAGTTGCACAAAGTTAGAACCATGAGTGGAGAGATTACGGTTTTTGGTAGAATATTTAAGAAAAATGACACGTACACAGCATTAGTTTGTTGTTACATAGCTATTTACCGTTAAGATCAGGGTAATCAATAACAGCTTCGCTTTTCTTTCCCTTGCCTTCTTCAAGTTTTACAGGATGTTCACTGTCTAAAAAAATGTTTGCAACGGCAATATACAGAATTCAAAACATACATGCATTAAGTACAGTAAATGAAGAGGAGAACTAGAGTGAAAATAACAAATATAGTGTCATGGACCCCTAATTTATAGCTTGGCCATCAAAAATGAAAACTCATTTCTGTGTCTTACTTGGAAAATGTTTCTCTAGATCAGGTCTTGCCTTCCAGTCACTCAATCTTATAGCTCTGTGAACTAGATAAGGCAGCTCCTCAAAAAGTTGAAGAAAATACTCTTGATAGTTTCTATCTTTAACACATGATGACAGTTGTGGACGAGGTTTATCACACCAATGCTGGCGAACGTTTCGTAAAAATCTTAGGCAACCTAACCATGTAGAGTCGGATACTTTGTTGAAATGATTAAAGACTTCAGGATCGATACGGTCCATCCAACCTATTGAAATATTTAACTGCTCAAGAATATTTGACGAAAGAGAATGTGGAGATGACGTCTTTATTTCTGGTTCATTCCCAACATCACACAGCAAATCAAAATTCTCCTTATCGGTTTGTAGATAAGGGTGTTTTAACGCCTCATTGGCAGATGGCCTGTCTTCAGGTATTAACTGTAGCATCCACGATAAAAGGTCTTTGAACGTGGCATCCTTGATTTCGTCCAAGCCAACTGGGTTTCCTTTTAAAATGTTGTCCAGTCTATGCCGTTCAATTCCAAAAGGATGTTTCCCCTTTGTTGCAACATAATAAGCCACCATTCCGGCATTCTATTTTCAATAAAAAATGGAGTTAATTTATTTGTTAGTTGCAAAAAATACAAGTTCAGTCGAAAAAAATCAGAATAATGTTCTCCAATTAAGAATCGTAGCCACAAATTTTTTAGAGCAATCTAAATGAGAGACATACAATAAGGCAATAACAACAATAAATTCATTATCATACATATACATATTTTTATATTTTATGCAGTACAATTTGTATTTCGCCACTATATGACTGTACAATGAAGGTAAACAAAAATTTATTTAAAAGTGATAGTGATATCAGTGGCAGTGATAATGATATCCCGACTAAATACAACATTCAAATGCAAACACAACATTGACCTGTAGTTGGACCTCTATTTCTACTTCAAGAACTTACCATAATGTCAGACTTTTTTTGGAACGAACTTTATTAATTGTATCATCTGATGCGTTATATGATTCTGGAGCTATCCAATTTTTTGCTCCCCTTTGTATGCTCCGATGTGTAGAAGTTTCATTTAATAATTTTCGACTTATACCAAAGTCAGCGATTAAAAAATTTCCATCCACATCTCGAAGAACGTTTGATGGTCTTAAATCCCGATGAAGAATAGGACACGAACCACTGTGAAGGTGAACTAGACCATTTAAGATCTGAATAAGAACTTTAGGAACGACTTTTTGAAGATCTTGCAAAGAAGAAGATTTCACATAACTCTCTAACGATTCTTCACACAAATCTAATATCAAATACAAATAATCTGTGCCTGGTTCTTCTTCAAGATACCAATAATTCACAACATAATTTGAACGCTTTGCATTCAACTCATTCAAAATATCTTTTTCTCGTTTGGCTAACTCCACGCAGTTATCTCGAAGCAATCGTTTTACTACTTTTCCGTAACCATCTTTTCCGAGTCCAAGGTAAACACGAGTTCCATCACTTCCTTTACCAAGCAAAAACTCTTCAGAACAAATAACCTTTACACCATTTACAAGTTTAACTTTTCTTGGATTTTCCTGCCCATATTTCTCCATCATTCTGAACTTTTGCTGATGCATTATTGATTTATCATAACATTTCCATGGTTGAGACAGCAATTCTTCAATTAAAAAGTAAAGTAAACTATTTAGAAAGGAATATATCAATGTATCAAGAAGGAATTTAATTTTCTAATTACACGCACATCAAGAAAATGTGGCTATTAGACAAGATTTGAAATACCTACACCGATTTGCCCGTTAAGGTGAACAGACTTTTATATTTAGCTACTAAATAATAACATAATAACATAACAACATGTTTGCCTTTGTTTGAGTTTATTTGTATTAACAGCATATTCCCCTGCTCCCAAACACATGGATGAGGGATATTTAGTTCAAAGGACATTGAGGGACGTCAGGATCTTTTCACTTTAAATGCAAAAACATTGAGACTGAAAAATCAAAGATGAAAGCATCTGTCGAGTTGAAAAGAGTTCGGAGAATTAAAGAACCTAATGTTTTTAAGGTTACCTTCTGAAAAACTTGAGTCTCTGACCAGACTTTCTGAGAAGTTGTGGCTTGGATCCATTTGAATGGCAAAAATGTTAGAACTAAAAAATCCGTAACAATAAAAATTACTCATCAAAGACGATAATTGTATGCGTTATTTTAAAAGCTACATTATGCATGTAGATGTATACATGGCTCATTAAAATATACAATTTGAAATATTATACATCACTTCTGTCTTTGATGCAAATAGCTTTATAGAAATGTTCAGTCTTTAATTCAGGAAGAAATAATCTCATTAATGAAAAGTGCCATACATAAATTCATGAAAAAAACTTGCGGTAGTTTTATTAAATTATTGGTTGAACTGCGTGTGTGGAAGTCAGTGAAATGAACTTCTATAAAGATGTGTGTGGAATGCATATACGAGAATTTTGTACTGTACGATGTAGTCAGCACGGCTCATGATCAAACGTGGTAGCTAAAAAATACAAAAGGTATACTTTTGAACATGTTTTAAACATGTCAAAATGAAGACATCTTATATTGAAACAGTATAAAATAATTTTTGACCAATAACGAAGCATCATAAAAATAATTAAATTTAGTGTATTTTAATCTTTTTGGCTTTGACAATTTTATTTTTTTGTTTTTGCTTTCGTTTTATTAAAAGCCTGTTTTTGCTTTCATTTTATAAAAAACAAGACAAATTTCAAAAAAAATTTCTTATCAAAGCGCTTGGACATTTAATCATCATTATGACAGAAAGAAAATCAACTTGCTTTTACTTGGATAGGAAAATAATAATTTCTAAAAAATAAAATTTAAGATGTTAGATACAGGTATTAGCAACAACGATTAAATTTCAGCTAATTAAAAACAAGCTAAGCTTTTGAAAACTGCATTGCAATCTACCTATCTATATTTAATAACCCTTGAGATAATAGATTACAACATATATATTATTCACATCGTATTCATATTGCAAACAAATTCGAGTGTGAGAGAACACGTCATTTTAATATTCTCATCATTCTTGTTTTGCTTAGCATGGTGCATTTAATGAACCGGTAACTTTAAATATTTTCACTTTTCAAAGATAAGTTATACGAAATTTTTATCGGCAATCTTTCAGTAATATTTATTTCAGTTATGATGTACTTAACATTTACAGTTTTTCCCTCTGAAACGTTAAACAGACGAAAGAATGCAAACGATAAACTTGAATATCGTATTTATTGAAATGCGGCATAGTAATCCATGTAATTTCAGTTTTACAGTGTTTTCAAGCGATTACCAGTTTCAAACCAAATCATCATGAAGTACTAACGGAAATTTGTGAAGATCTAAATGATAAGCTAATGAAAATAGTTTAAACAACGCCAACAACAATCTTCCTATGAATTTCATTTTTTATTGAAAAATTTGCTTGCGTGTCCATTCCCGCCTACGTAGTTCAAGTCTCTTGACTCATGACTCATGAACAAAATAAATATTTAATATACACGCTAAAAAAGTTGCCAAATTAATAAGAACTTTAAAATAGTCTTGTTGTAACGCTATTTTATAAGAATAACGATATATTAGTGAGTAACAATCGAACACCCCAGCCAAATTGTATGGAATTGTTTTAGTACTTGCTGTCTGACTAATTTTTTTCTAATTTTTTCGCTATTTGTAAAAATCTATACCTTAAAAATATAATCTTAGACAAGGAGAAATAAATAGAGACTAAAACTACATATAAATTCAAACTTGTGGCCTTCAAGTCAAAAGTCTAAAGCAATGGAATTTGAACATTGTCATTACATATACTGAAAGAATTCGCAAATTTTTATGGCAAAGCGTACCAGTGTTAAATCATGAAGAGAATACGATACAAATAACACTTACAGTGCTTGTTCCACTACTTAAACGTTTTTGCTTCGTCTGATGAGAATCAACTATCAAAATAATACGTATGACAAGTTTTGCATCGCGTATGTAAATAATCTTTTAACAATGGAAGCATTTCCAAAGATCACAGCAGGAAAAAACTATATTTTCCCTTAGGGAGGGGTTGGGCGGAGAGAAAATAAAATTTGTGAATATTGAATTTGGAAATGTTTTATTTAAATTTTATATGCGCATGCAATTGAGCATGTTTTCTATCGTAAAAATAAAATTTGTTTTTACGTATTATAAAATTAATGTATATGAATATGCCCGCCCCCCCCAATTATCGTTCTGGCTACGTGTATGATCCTGTGCCAATAAATAATATACAAGTCTTACCAATCGTAACACGAATAGTGCATGAGTGTAAATAAGAAAATTAGTGAATTATTGTAGGCGGGTTGTAAAGAAAATATAAAGTGAAATTGTGTCTACAGCAGCTTGCTAGTGGCATTTGTTCCATACGTTACAGCTTTTACTAGTTTTTTTCATCCAGAGAATGGGAAAATGGAGTAGCCATTGTGGGATGTGGGTGATTAATGATTGTCTCTGACCAGCGTTCTTGACATGAAAATGGCTGTTTACTCGCATGTTTTATTGTGCGTGGTAAATTAACTCAATTAAATTTAAATTCTAATTATAGTCCGGTTGCCAAATGCCACTTTAAGTTAGAACGTTGCTGTGAAGGACCCCAAGCAGGTTTTTTCATTTCTTGTATTTTTACAAAATATAAAATTCATAATTTTAAGAGTGTCAACTTGGCACCCTTGGTGAAAATCTAATTTACGAGCTCATATATTGGCTGACACATTCTATATCTAGATTTCAGCCATCCGAACTGTCTCACCTCTGTCTTTTAGCACATGTTTAAATAAATTATGAAAATAATACTTACTGATACTGGCATGCTATGTTGTAGAAATATATATACAAAATGAGTTACAAAGATCATATAAAACAAAGGGGTTAGGAATCTAAAATTTTATTATTTGGCTGTTATTGAACATTTCCACTGCCTGAATAAAAAATGCTGCGAACGAGAGACTGTTGTGTTTTGTGGTGATTATGACAAAGGCCATATGAACATTTTCTAAATTACTGTAATTTAACTCGATAACAAAAACATATTTTAATACTGCTTAAATAAACTCTTTCAGTCATACCTGTTTTTATGACTTCTTTTTGCATTTATTTCCTGATCTTTCACCGTATTTTATAAATAAGGTCATTGTTTTTGACAAACAACAGTCATATCCAGATTTTTAAAGTATAATGATATCTTATGACTCATATATGATAAAGCAGGAGCGGATCTAGGATTTTTCAAACATCAGTCATAAAACGTCAGAGGCGCTCCGCACCTGGTGGGGTCCGAGGAGTTCTCCCCTGGGAAATTTTGAATTTCGGAGGCTTGGAAATGCCATTTTCAGCGTTTTAGAGCAATACAAAATGCATTTTGTGGGCATTGTTTTAGCGTAAATACAACACATTTTGCTCACGTTTTCTTCTGAAAAAAAAACTGAAGTCAACAATACTTGAATGTTTTGCCAAATATTTAGGCTCATTATCATGCCAAATATATGGCTCATTACCATGTCTAGGAACAAAGTTCAATTTACAATAATGCTATTCCAAAAAAGATATTGTCTTTAAATGACTTTTGCCCCACACCACGATCTTCCATCTTACACAAGGTAAGTGAATGCTATCGACTATGGTGACGGGGATCCTTTCGCATAAAACATTTTTCACCACAAAAAACACAGTCTTCCTGGAAAGAAAACGTTGTTCTTGAATTTGATCGTCGTGTACGTTTTACAACAAACGAGCAAGTTGTAGCATCAGTTTTTTCTTGACTCACGCTTTGACGCTTTAAATGACGTTTTATATGGTTCAGTGAAGTATACGATGAAACACGTGACTTGCGACATTGTATTTGAATGTCAGGATTCCCTTCAAGGATTCTTTTTTTCTAATCTTTCATGAATGGAATCTCCTCTAGTTTTGCTCGAGTCAATGATTTTTTTCACTCTTTCTTTACCTGCCTTTATTAACACTTTGCTCGTGTCCTCACATTCAAAAAAAACAATCATCCATCTTCAAAAAGTTCCAAAGGGACTTCCTATTTTTAAATAACAGTACAAAATGTCCACATTAAATTTTTTTTAATCATGTTGAAATAATTTTTGAAAAACCCTCAAAACTTTTCCGTAGTTCTTGCAATAAAAATTATTGTTTTACTAATGATTGAGCTACTTCATGTAAGTTTTGTAAAATTATCTTGTGACTTAATCATAAGCCGTATGCAAAAATAACTATTTCTTGATGTTTATGCCCAAATACTGATCGTTTACAACACAATAAATCTTCTATTGTTGCTGTACCCTGTGGCGTAACATTTCAAACAAAGAGCATTGTTTGTTTTTCAATATGGCGTCCATTTTTAATAGAAGTACGCAGCCAAAAGCTCCATACTTCATTTCCCTAAAGGGTGCTAAATTGGCACCCTGAAAATTACAAATCGCCGTGTTACATAAATAGAAAAACTCTAAAAATCTGTTTGGGGTCCTCCAAAACAAAGTATAGCCTTTGGCAATTAGTTAAAAAGTTATTAGAAATTAACAGGAATCTAATCCAAGAGAAACCAGAAATATAAAACATAAAAATAATGTCT